GTTACCGTAAACATTTGAAAAAAGCACAAAAAAGATTTAGTTAACCCAGAGAAACACCAATTTTTTTAGCAGTAGCAATTTTATATCACAGTTTTATTTTCTTATGAAGTCCAAAAAACACATTGCTACTCATTAAGGCAAGTTCATTATTTAACATAAAAACCAGAATAATCTTTGAAATGAAAATATTTTTATTTTAACGTATACTTATTAAGCTCTTACTACCAGCTCTGAAGAGCTTTTGGGAATAATTACATACCCCATAGTGTGTGTTTTACAATGTGTTATCACTAGTCAGTAGCAATGACAGAAGTCTCTTTTCTCCCCCTCCTCCTCTGTTTGTCCCCACCTCCCTTCTTCCCCAGTATCTCTGTAATAGGGCCACTAGAAGGTTGTGTTTATAGCTACCTTTGGAAAGACCATCAATAAAAAAGACACAAAAGTTTCAGTTGACCAGAAATTGAAAGTTAGAGAACTTAGATTTATTTAATTCAGTGTTGCCCTAATGTAGGCTTTGCCAGAAAATAATGCTATAAAAATAAATCACTTTGAAACTCTTGAAAGGTGCTATATATATGTAAATACAAAGGATTCTTACCGAAACACAAATGTTGTACAACAGAAGTACTATTCTCTAGACTTTAAAATCTCTCTGCATCATGACTCCTTGGATTCAAGTAACAAATTGGTAAGTTGGTATCATGACAGTCTAGAGACAATGAATGTAAAAATATGTAAATTTACTTTTGATTGAAAAGTTCAGAATAAGTGTAGAATTATGTTTTAGCTAAAAGTGGGTAAGTTAGATTTATATTACTAGCATCCAATTTGCACAATTAGCACACATCGCAGGACAATTAATGAGTGTGAGGTGACCTAGTGAGGATGAGTGATGATGCAGTTTGACCTCTCTTCTGATATTATAAGAGAGAGCCTGCTGAGTTAATCAATACCACCACTTCAACTGAAAATGCCTGTAATGTACTAAAGTGGAGTAGGCTGACCCTGGGAAGGAAAAAAGAGACTATTAAAATAAAATACCTATGATTATATTCATTACCTTCCTCACACTGTTTCAAGAAAGGACTAAATGATAACCACATGCATTTTTTTTTTCTTCAAAATCTACTTCAGAAGCAGACTTTATCGGAACCTAAGCCAAATGGAAATGAACTAGAACTGTTTTTCTAAGCAGGCTTAACCCTGCCTTTAGTTATCTGGTTCTTTTTATTTTTTAACCAGCCCCTAAACCTCTTAGAACACTTAAAAATCAGAATACCAGCACTAGCCCACAACAACAATATGCCTCCTGGATGGCCATGGCAATGTTTTGATCCAAGTTTTTTTTTCAGTTGGTGGTTACCAAAGAATTCACAAGACAGGTTCATGTGTAGCACCTTTCATGCAAGGCACGTTAAAAGCCTATTTAAAAAATCACTGTGTGTATTATAGAGTTGTAGCCACCTCACAGATAGTACTACAGCCTGTACTGTCTTTAATGGTTTATATCAGGAAGTGAAATCAATACTGTATCAAATCTGGAATTATAATGGGGAATTATGTATTCTAAATTACTTTTGTACTTTAAGTTACTTTTTATGAGAAAAGTGAATTGTTTTCTTTACAGCTCTTTGTCCTGAGATGTATTTTTTTTTAAGTCTTGATTATGAATACTACAAAAAGAGCCCATTTTATAATATAAACCTTGATGTACATGTATTCGGACAGTGAAAATGCCTTAAGAGGAATGCTCAATGGATAATGTTGCACTTGTAACATCCTTTGACAAAACCAGATTTTAAATTGTGCTTTTCATTTCTACTGGGTTTTTTGGTTGGTTGGTTGGTTAGTTGTTTTGGTTTTTATTTTTTGGTTTGTGTGTGTGTGTATGTTGTTGTTGTTGTTGTACTCACAGCTGTTATTTAATACCAAATCAAATAAAAAGCTGTAACATTTCCTTTAAAATTAATGCTAATAAGGAAGGTAAAGTTGAATGGCAAAACATGGTGGTGCCTATTATCAGCCACAGGATTCCATGCATGGCAACATACCACTGTTTGTCATGTTTTTTTTTTTGTTTTGTTTTGTTTTGTTTTTTTGTTTGTTTTTTTTTTTTCCTCTCTTTGATTCTCCTTAAAAGTATATATGCTGGATTAACTGCTATAAAAAAAAATAAAAAAGGTAAATTTTTAAACAAATTGTTATAATCATTTTAAAATTGTGTATTAGCCAAGTATTACTCTTTGCCCTGGACAATCTTTGTGTGTTTTATCCTAATTATTTTTGGTTACTAAGAGTTTTGGGGAGAGAGTCAGTTTTGTCAATCCTAAACTATGTTTAAATGCAATCTATAGTAGTTTCCCTTATCTGACAAGAGGTATGCTCCAACAGTCCCAGTAAATGCCTGTTTTGTTTTCCTATACATTAATACTAAATAAAAGCTTACTTAAATCATAGTAGGCACAGTAAGAGTAATAATCACTAATAATAAAATAGATCTATAACAATACCGTTTGCATTTTTTTCAGGTTTAGTTTGTTTTATCAGGGTTTTTTTCCTTTTTTTGGCGGGGGGGGGGGTGTTTACTGCTGGGGATTTTACTCAGGGCCTGAGCATGTTGGCTGGCAGTCTACCACTTAGTTGTAGCACCAGCCCCTTTCTCAGAACTTATCACATTTGTGATGTGAGATACAATAACTAGGTGATGAGATGAAGTGACATAGGTGATACAGGAAATATATTGTTAAGCTACTACATAAGGGTTGTTGAACACCAGCACTGTGAAAACACAGATACTGCCACAGTCTGGTGATCTTAAGGGCTAAGTGACTAATAGGAAGTATATACAGCATGGATATACTAGGCAAAGACATGATTTAATGATGACATCTCAAAATGGCATGTAATTTAAACTTATTAGATGTTTAATTTTGGAATTTTTCATTTAATAATTTTGGGTTACAGGTTATTGAAACTTCAGGAAGTAAAACTGCCAAAAATGTGATAGGCTGCAAAAATATATCTCTTTGTGGGGCTAGAGTGATGGCTATGTGGTTAACAGTATTGACTCCTCTGGTAGAGGAGCCAGGTTACATTTCTAGCACAGTCTTTGTGGCAGCTCACAGCTGCCTACCTCTAGCTCCAGGAATTCCCAACACTCTCTCTTGACCTCCATAAGCAATGTATACAAGTAGTGCACAGACATACATGCAGATAAAACACATAAAATAAAAATAAATCTCCAAGAAAATCATAATGTTTTATTTTTACTTATAGTCAGCTAGCAGAGTCTTGTCATACCATTCTTCCAAAGCCTGTTTGCACTATCAGCAAGATATCTAAGGTCTACAAAGTCTGGTTCTCTTCCTTCATTTTATATACTTAGCAACCTAAAACTACCTGGTTTTCTTAGAGATATAGAGTACAGGGAAGATAAAATAAACAAGCATGGAACCTCTAAAACAAGGCAGTCATTACTTTCATTTTGCCTTTCTGTGACACAAGTTGGTACAAATTACAGTATCTCTACTACATAGAAAGTATTTTTCAAAGACTAAACAGAAAATTATAGTTCTGTTAGTAACATCTCACTTGATTGTTAGGAATGGAGATAATGGCAAGAGCAATTTTTATAGTCTAACCTATGTCAGATCCTCAGTGAATAAACTGAAGTGTTCCCAGTTTTAGTTTTTCAGATGCCATAACTGAAGGACTGTATTAGGATTTCTAGAGGCACATATAACCAAGAGAATATATATTACAAAAGGGATTAGTAAATCAGCTTACATTTGGGCTGGGTATCCAAACAATGGCTATTTTACATACCAGAGGGCCTGGAGGATTCTCGAAGAGCCTCAGATCTTCAGCCCCACATCATTTTGCAAATGTCAAAAAGGATGGCAGCAGTGGCAGCACTGCTCTTTACTGGAACTTCTGAATCTAGCTGCTGTCACCAGTTCTGCCTACTGTGGACATCTTCTTCATTTAGTTCTCCCTAGAAATGTCCTCACAGACCTGCCCAGAGGAGTGTTTGTTTCCAGATCAAATCAAGTTCACAACCAAGATTCACGACCACAGAGATTAATAAAGTTATCCTAAAATTAGGGTAGAAGACAAAAGAAATGCCTTTCTGTCATCTGAAACAAATTCTGACGCTACAAGGTGTATTTTGCTGCTGAGTTTTAAAATATAACTTTAATAGTTTGCTACTTCTAGTTTTTCTACATTAATTTTAATAAGCCAGGTGTGATTTTTTTTTTTTTTTTTCCCCTGCAATCCTAACATTTTGGAAGCAAAGGCAAGAGGATCAGAATGTCAAGATTACCCTTGGATACCTGACCTACATGAGACCTTGTCCCAACAAAACAAAACGAAAAATGTTTAGTAGAAAGTTTTGTTGTCTATTGGGGGGGGGAAACTCACTGGTTTAAAAACATACATTGGAAAGTGTTTTTAATTATCTTACTGGGGACAATCCTAATTTTCTCCCAAATAGCCACTATCAGTATATTCCAAGTGCAGTAAAAACTGAGGTTTAAATTCATTAACCCCAAAAGGACTCCCAACTGTTGGCAGCCTTCTTATAGTGAATAATTGTCATGGAAAATTGAGACAGAGTAGAATCTCTCAACGGACAAAAAATACCTCAGTTCATCTCAGATTTAAGACTGGAGCTGGACAAACAGGTCAGTGGTTAGAATTTGCTCTTGCAGAGGACCCAGGTTCATTTCCCACATCTACATTATGCCTCTCAACTATCTGCCCAGGGGATCCCAGTTCCTGGGGATCCAGTGTCCTAACTTTCACAGGCATAAGCAGGTACATGTGATACACATATATACATGTAGGCAAAATTGTTCATACACATAAAAACCTTAAAGATGAATGATAATCTCCAAATCAAAGACACAAATTTAAGAATCTGTAGAAATGAGTTTATTATGAGCAGTAGCCCAATTGGCTTTTGTTGTTTGACACAACGTCTGAATATTTAAGTCTTTGGCTGGCCTATCAACCTTCTCTGCCTAGAGTGCTAGGCTATGCACACCTCCCAATCAGTTTTTAATCAAAGTTTAGAATTATGGGATTATGTCCTGTAGCCTTCACAAATATGAGAAAGTCTTCAGGACTTAAGCCCATGGTTGCAGCATTAGTCATTGGATGAAAGTATACTTTTTCATGTCCACCTTCCAGAAAAGCTGAATCCAAAACAAATTTAACATCCCCATCATCACAGAACAGAGCCAGAGGTGTGGCACAGCCTGGAGCAACTTTTAGTTTTTCTAGCATGGCTGTTTCATCAGCAAACCGAAGATTTCCACTCCCAACTCCTAACTGCTTGCCAAGATCATTTAAATTAATTTGTCTATCATGAAGAACTGTCACCAGCCAGTAGTGTTTCGTCTTTTTGTCTTTAAGAAATAAGTTCTTACTATGTGCTCCTTTCAAATGTTGAATATGAGGCATCATTTCTTCTATTGTACATACCTGCAAAATACCACAGGAGTAAGGCAGCACACACACATAAATATGCACAGACAGAAATGTATATAGTTTGCCTGGCTGAAAGACTTAGTGAGTACTCTGATTTAACTGGTAGAGACCCATCTCTATTCGTTATAAATGTTTTTCTTATTGCACGGGGTTGGGTTTTTTGTGCTAGGGATGCATGCTAGGCAAGTTGGGTGCTTCTGAACTAAATAAACCCTCAGTCTTTAAAGCCCTGGAAACCCTGTAATAATGGTGCTCTGGGCTAAGGTTAGGATCAAGAGTTCAGGTAAGCCTATATTACACAGCAAAACCCTATTGGAGAAACAACAAAAAGGCCTAAGTCATCATAGTTGCTACCCTCAGGACCTCAGGTTTTTCTTAGGCTAGTTTTCTATACCAATATGCTGACCAAGCTGTCAAATGCCTGCAATGTTTACTGTTTTTGAACTTTGGCAGTAAGTTTATGGGTGTCCTTAATATTTACCTCCAGAACACTTGAGGACCCCCACTCTACAAGTTCACCGCCAGATTAGTACATTTAAAAATTCTTTTTAACAATGTAGACAGGAATGTAACTATCTGGGAGGAAGGTCAGAGAAAATAATTTTGTTGTGACATTTGTAAAGATGGGATGGGGAATGTTAACATTTTTTCTTCTATCATTGTGAAATATGTCCCTCAACCCTCATGGTACAGTTCATAGGAACTGTACCATACAAATCTCCAATACTATATTTCATGTTAAAATAATTATTAAGGTACGTACTTTTCTTTGTGACACGTAGGGGAAGTGCGGGGTCAAAAGAGGCCTTAGGTTCCTCTGTAGCTGTAGTTTTTAAAAGGCAGTTATGAGCTCGATGTGGGTACTGGTAATTAAATTCGTATCATCCGCTAGAAGGGTATGTGCTCTTAACTGCGAAAACAATTCTCCAGACCCAGGGGTATATACTTTTCTGAATTTTTGGGGAGATGATTGTTGCCTTGTCTAAAGTAGTAGACAGCAAACCACCTTAATGACCTACTGTCTTCGGTACCTGATACAATGCAGGCACTTAAAGGACTGCCAGTTAAGTAGGAGCTTGCTACCTAGTACCTCATCTACATAAGGCGACCGCAGTCTCTAATCGAAAGACCTGCAAGTTCCTGTGGGACCCAAGAAGCACTCGCCCTACGGCCTCCGGTCCCGGAGCCTCACCTCGGGGTGCTCCACGACCTCGGTGTGGATTGCGAGGGCGCTGAGCCTCTGCTCTAAAGCCACACGCAGTCCCGCTGCTGCCATGCTTCAGCTACGTAGGCAGGTGGATGGAGGCGCTTGAACGGAAATGAGTGCCGCAGCTTCCGGGGCGTGGCGGTCCGCCTCCTCCAGCACTGGGTCAAGGACGGTCGAGTGCGGACAGACACATCGCCTACCACCACAGTCTCCGTTCAGGCTGGTGGAAAGCTTGCCCCAGGGCTGCGGCACTGTGGCTACATAGCTTTCCAACTGTAATTCGTAACGTACGACTTTCTGGTTTTCTTCTTTAAATTTTATGTGCATGGGCGGTTTACCTGCATGCATGCCTGTACACCACATGTGTGCAGTGCGTGAGGAAGCCGAAAGAGGTTGTTCAATTTCCTACAACTGGAGTTACGGATGGTGAGCAGTGAATGGGTTGCTAGGAACCGAACTAAGATCCTCTGCAAGAGCAGCCAGTACTCCAGCCCGTTTTGATATTAAAAAAACAGTAGTGCAATGATCCAGCCTTTGCCATGGTCATTGTAATTCCTTTTGACCCGGGATCTGCAGCCATGTTGGAACCACTCACTCTTGAGTGACTTCCAAGTTCCGTATTAGTATTCCACTTAAGATTTCAGATTAAGGCTCATATCCAGCATGAAACATTGATATCCTCAGAGATGTTTAACTTTAATATGAATGAATTTATATGGTGGTGAACAGTTAAGATCTGAAAAACAAACCCTCTTAAAACGAATATAAATGGCCTATGACTCAGTCTTGGAGGAAACTACAAAAGAGGAAATCACACTTGTGTTTACAGTTTTACTTAGAACTCAGGATTGCAAGATTTTAAAACTTTTTGGCCTAAACCTATTTTATGTATTTTTTGCCAGTATCTGCACCACCTTTGGAGGCCAGAAGATGGCATCGAATCCTCTGGAACTAGAGTTAAATGTAGTCATGTGAGTGCAGCTTTGGGTCCTCTGGAAGAAGCAGCAAGTGCTCTTAACCATGAAGCTGGCTCTCCAGGCCTGTAACCTATGTCCCTTAAGACTGCATTTCGATGTTGTTTCCACCCTTTTTTTTTTTTTTTTTTTTTTTTAATCGTTTCAGTCATGGTCTCATGGTGCACAGAGTGATATCAAACTCATCTTGAACACCATCACGACAGGGCGCCATCCCTTATAATCTAGGCAAACGTGGCCTTGCCCCTTGGGAACCTGAGTACCCTGGCTCCGTAAGCAGGCGCAAAGGTCCCTTTAAGAGGTTAACTCGGGGACTGGAGAGCTGGCTCAGTCATTAGAGGCTAGGCTCACATCCAAAAAAAATATAAGAGGTAAACTCTGCCCACTTCTACTCCCTGCAGTTTCTCTAAAGGAGTCAGGTCATTGTCTCTCTCTTTCTCATCCACCCCCCCCAATAAACTTTCCATATAAGTTTTGTATGTAGGTCTCTCTCTGTCTGCCTCTCACCAGCCATGGGATCTACCTCACACCATAAGGTTTGGCAGCAAGTGCCTTTTCTGAGCCATCTTGCTGATCCAAATTTTAATGGCATTTTTTGAGAGAATTTTTAGGAGATAACTTTTGATCAAAGGGACATTTTGTTGCTCCAGTTAAGTAAGAGAGAGTGTGTGTGTAAATAATAATAACAACAATAACAAAGGGGACAGACAGCTTAACGGTTTGTTTTTGGTTTAAAGAGCTTATTTTTGTTTTCTTTTGAGAATGTGTCTAATTATAGCCCAGACTGGCAAGGAACTCACAGAGGTCTGCCTAGTCCTGGGTAAGTGCTGAGACTAAAGAAGAGTGTTACCCATGCCTGGACCTTAGTGGTTTTGTTTGTTTTGTTTATCTTTTTTTTTTTTTTTTTTTTTTTTTTTTGTCTTGGGGGGGTATTTTGTTTTTCTAATTACCAGATACCCATACAGTTTTCTTATGGTTATTATTTTCCTCTAGTTTTGAACTAATTTTGTTCAGATTCTTGGTTCATTTAGAGCAGTGGTTCTCAACTTTCCTAATGTTACAACCATTTAATCCAATTCTTATGTCATGGTGACCCCAACCATAAAATTATTTCATTGGTCCCTCATAACTGTAAATGTTCTAGTTATGAATCCTAATGTAAATATTTTTGGAGAGGTTTGCCAAAGGGGTTAGTTACACCCCACAGGTTGAGAACCACTGGTTTAGATAAAAATCTATCTAATCTAAAAATAAGAGAGAGAAAAGTTGGAGAAAGGTGTGGCTGTCTTTATTTACTTTGCTCCCTTCTTTCCTCTTATTATTTTTCTTTTCTCTATAGAAGTGTCGTTCTTTTTTGTTTTTCTGGTCTAAGTTTAGAAAGTTAACCTCCAGTAATAAAATATCCATTTTATTTTCTGAGCATAGGGACACACACCTATGATCCTAACACTTAGGAAGCAGAGGCAGATATACCTAGGTGAGTTCAAGGCCAGCCTGATAGACACATAATTCCAGGCCAGCCAAGGCACCAGAATGAGACCCTATCTCAAGGGTTAAAAATGTTTTTGAGAATGTTAATTCAGGACTGAAGCAATGGCTCAGTGGTTAAGAGTACATACTGTTCTTATAAGAAAGAGGATCTGAGTTCCCAGCACTCATACAGCAGCCAAGTTGATATTCTCAGTATTGATGGTCATAAAAATCAAAATATTGATCAATTCTGAAAAACAGTGAAGATGCTCCAATTCCTGCTGCATAAAATATTCGTTTAAATTTAATTCTGTACATAACAATAAAGTACATTTATTGGTACATAAATTTTTGTTCTTCAATAATAAATTGACAAGATATGAGCATACCAAAAACTAGTTTAAAATTTATGATTTATTATTAGTAACTGTTTATTTTATGTGCTTGGGGTCTTGTAGTAACTTCTTGGGTAAAAAGGTGTCACAAATGGAAAATGCTTACACCCTGGTCTTTCCAGCCATCTGTCAGCTATGTAAGCTCATATATATAGCTTGATATAGCTATCCATCAGTTTAGTTTCTGAAATCTTTCTATTATAACCTTCTTCACCCTGCCCAAATTACTACTTTTATCTTCTTGACCATAATAATGACTTCTTAAGTTTAGTCTACAAGAATCCTGTAGCAAGAGTTTTGCCACCAAAACAGAATTTATCTGTGTATGGAGAAATAGCTTTAACATCACCATTCATATTCTGTAAGCATTGTGCTATGTACAAAGAAATGCTGTATTTGTCATGGCCCTCTCAAGTGAAATACAATGAAATGGTTACCCTGGAAAGTACATAGAATGAGCTTGGGGAAATAGTTATCTAGTCACAGGAGTGTCTGCATCTGAAAAGTGAACGCTAACAAATTGTTTTTAAAGGGAAGTAAGAGTAAGTCCTTGGCACTTCAATAGGATGACCTTAAGGGAGGCCTGTTGTTGATAGCTGTAGGCATTTATTAAAGATGACTTCCAAAGAGGAACAATGATGAGGTCCTACAGCTGTAGCCTACCTGCCAAAGGCAATCAAAAGACCCCCCCCAAAAAAAAGTGGGATGTTTATAAACCAGAGGGCAGGCAGGGCTTCATTATTAGGTGAAAGATGTTAGATTCTCAAAGTGGGGTGATGGGGCATGCCTTGCCTTTAATTCCAACTCTGTGAGTTCAAGACCAGGCTGGTCTACAAGAGCTAGTTCCAGGACAGGCTCCAAAGCTACACAGAGAACCCTGTCTCAAGAAACAAACAAACAAAAAAGTTAGATCCTCAGCTGAGTAAAATAAAGGGCAGCTCTAAAATAGAGAAGCTGAAAGCAGTACCAAAATGCTGTTGTAACCCAAATAGCAAGCCAGACAACATCTGTTTTTAATACTTGCTGCTATCTTTCAACAAATCTTTTAGTATATATGTTGCATGCGCATAAAATAATTGCTTTTGGTTCATAGACCTTAAAGTCTAGCACAAGTGCTCACTCTCTCTCTCTCTCTCTCTCTCTCTCTCTCTCTCTCTCTCTCTCTCTCTCTCTCCTATCTAATGACTGTGGATTAAAGAAATTGTGCCTGGTTATACCATGAGGCTCCTTTGGGAACCCTGCCTGGGAAGATGTATCAGAGAGGGCATTAGGTGAAGGTGATGTCATGAGTTCGCCAGAGGTCTAGCTGACAGAGTGTTGGAAAAGGCAGTATGTCCTGTGGCATTATGATCCAATGTCACATTGGAAAGGCTACTGAGTGGAGACAGGGCTAAAGCTAGACATGTACATGGGCATACACATAAACACACATACTTAAAATGCTTTTTAAAGATAGTTGTTTCACATTCTTGTAAGCATAAGCAGGCAGCTTACACTCTGTCTTCAATTAAAAACAAACCAATAAATAAAGAAAAACAAATATCTAAAACCACTAAGTAGTAGCATCATCTTTCCTATCCCCATTCTAGGAAAACTCTTTTCTGAAGATTATGAAAGAAGATTCATCTCAGAAGATGAATTAGTGCCTATAAGTAAAGTTGTAGAAGTTAGCTAGATCTGGGCACACTGAATCCTCCTGAGTACAGAAACAGACAAACATGTACATCTTTCCACAGTGTCAGAATTTATTGCATAACATTACATTTGCAAGACACAGTGGTTTTGTTGGCAATTTATGAAGCAGTCCTGCCTTCCTTGATAAACATAGGTTCTTTTTAAGTGTATGTACTTGTGAGAAGTACTAACATACCATTAGTGATTAGAAGACAACTTGCATGAGTCTGTTCTGTCCTTCCAGTGTGTGGGTTCCAATTATCAAACTCAGATTTTTAGGGTTGGCAAGAGGTGCCATCTCAATGACCCATGGTCTTTTTCTTCCAGTAGTTCTTTTTTTTAAAATGAAACTCATTTAAATGAGTCAGCAACTCAACCTCTAGTCTTCTATTTTAAAAAAAAAAAATCTCTGTATGTGTATGTGTCTGGATGTATGTATGTATACCCCTGTCTGGAGTGGTCTTTGCGGGGCTGCAATTGGAGCCAGCCACGCGGCCCCAAGTCCATCCCTGAGTGGGGGAGTGTGGATGAGGGAAAGGCTAGCTATAGATAATAAAGAGAGACAGAATAAAGGTCAGGAGGGCAGATCAGTCAATACTGAAATGCCATGAGTTTATTTTTTGCCATTCTTATATACCATAACCAAAAAGGGAACACAGTATCATGTAAACAGAACAAACAGACTTTTCTTCCTCCCTCATTCTAAAGGTTCAGTAACCACACCTTAGCTCTAAACTTCTTGTTCTCTAGCCTTGAGGTCAGGAGTAGCCACACCACAGATTCAGGTCTGTTGTTATTTAGACTAAGATGGCCGAAACATCCTTCTGTAGCCACACCTTTGACCTTTAGGTCTTGTGACTTGCTGACAGCTTTGTAGTCTGTCCTTGTGCGAAGATGGAGTGCCGCCATCTTTATGGGCACCCACATACCCCAATCATGCATCGGTCATAAGAGGGCATCAGATCCCCATGGAATTGGGAGTTACAGAAGGTTGTGAACTGCTATGGGGGCACTAGGAATAGAATCCAGGTCCTCTGGAAAAGCAACCAGTGCTCTTAACCAGTAAAACAACTTCCCTTATCCCTTTTATTACAGCCTTAGGTACTAACATTAATTCTCAGATCACATGTTACACGCTGCCCAGTAAATACATCAGTATGTGTCTATGTGTAGGTTATAGAATGGCTGCAAAGATTTAAAGAAGGGTTAAAGAGTTTCAAAGAGACCTGAGAAGCAGAAGCTGAAAACAGGTACACGGGGTATCCTGGAAAGATAATGAACCCAGGTTGGAGGTTTGCTGGAATGATTATGATCATTCAACTTAAGAATTTGAACTGCAAACAAGAAGTGAGGTTGAGGCTAAAGTCCAGGTGCAAGCTACATCATTTCTGCTGGTTTCTCAATTGCTTGCCAAAGCAAGTGAGAGCAAAGAATTGCTTGCAGAAAATGAGCTTCAATAGATTTTTATGAACAGTAGATAAAATGGCAAGAATTGCAATGAATTTTGCAAGTGTAGGATTAGTGGAGATTCGGGAAAAAAAGGACTTCCAGGAATCTCTAGTCATGAAAATTGATTGTGGACCTTTGTGATAGAAAAAGAAGGGGTGGTGAGATGACTACCTGGGTAAAGGAGCTAACTGCCAAGTCTGAGTTCTTCAGTTCGACTCCTGCTAACTTGCGGAAGGAGAACTGACTCCCAAAAATTGTCCCCCATTTCTTATACACAAATAAATACAACTTTTAAAAAAAGAAAAGGGAAAAGGAGTGAGTTAAGAGGCCTGAGTTAGGGTAGACAATGGGAGATAAGTGCAAAGCGTGCTTTGGGGAAGAATTTTTCTATAACTTCCCATTCATCAGTGGCAGTGCTAGATGTAAACGAGTTACCCTCAAGAGGTAGTGATGGCTGTGGTCAAGAGGATGTACCAAAAAGACTCCACAAAGTGGAGAAAAACAACGAAAAATCAAAACCAAGCTTACAAGTGTGGGATTAGTGGAGAACAAGGTGCTCTGAACAAGTCACTGAAACCTCGCGATCCTGTGTAGATACAGTGATGAAGTCGAGGCACGGAGAGTTGACAAACACCTCCAAGTTCACACACCGGGAATGGACTGGGCTCGCGGCCCAATCACCCTAGCCCCACTGCCTACGGTGCCCGCGAGTTGCGGACGGCCACCTGCCTGCCTCCCGGATGCTGGGATTACAGGCGTGCACCACCATCAATCACCCCGTTAGTGTTCTTTACAGCCACCTTCACCGGTTCCTTCCGTGTGAAGGACTTGTCCTACAAGGAGAGGGAAGGGACACACAGCACCTCTGCTAGCCACAGAGGCCCGAACGCAGTGGGAAAGCCACTTCCGGCGGAATCGGAAGCTCGACGGGGACCTTGCTGAAGGAACGGACTGACTGACCCTCAGGTCTCCTGGTCCGGAAGGTGCTCGCCTGGGAACTGAGTGAGTGGGGCCTCTGTGCTAGGGTGGTCGCGAGTGGCCGTGTCACTTGTCGCGGCTTCATGAATGCCCACGAGCGCCCGGATGCGCACTCCCAAGCCACTCGCGTGGTGGCGGCGGCAGGGTTTGGGTTTCACAAACCAAATTCTCTTTTTACCTTTCTAAAACTTGTAGCTGCTGGGTTCAGACGTTTCCATTAAGACAGCTAAGCGTGTGCTGCAGGCTCACCATCCTCCTGCAAAGGAAATTGTCAGGCCTGAGTTCTAGTCTGGGGTGCCACTAACCTTATGGCAGTAGGAAATGACCCTTCTGGATTCCAGTGTCCTCTGTAAAGTGAGAGGCTTTGGAATACTTAATAACCAAGATTCCTTCCCAGTTTGAGATTTGAGTCCCCCAACCCCATGTGTCTGATTCTTCGATTGCATATCTCTTTATTGGTTTGTCTCGTGGAGTGTTTATCATTCATTCCATTAATCCATGTATGCCCTTTGTCAAATCTGGTTTCACAAATCATTTAAAAATGATTTAGGGTAGCCGGGTGTAGGGACACACACCTCTAGTCCTGTAAGTGGCAGCATTAGGGAGGCAGAGGCAGGTGGATTTTTTGTGAGTTTGAGTACTTTCCTACATAGTGAGTTCCAGGAAAGCCAGAGCTACATAGTGAGACCCCGTCTCGAAAAAAACAACATGATTTAAGAAATCCTTTACTCTCTGAGCACTTTCTTTTACTTCTTAGATCAGAGGCATATGCCCAACATGATTTTTGAGGTGTTTGATTGGTTATTGAATAAGGAGATGTAAATACTTCAAAGATTTAAAAAATTCAGTGTGTGTGTGTGTGTGTGTGTGTGTGTATGATGCCTGCCTACCAATAGAAACAAAAAGAATGAGATCCCCTGGAGCTAGAATAATGGAGTTGTGAGCATCCCAAATCGAGTGTTTGGAACCGAACTCAATTGTCTCAAGAGCAGCAGTGCTCTATATCAAAGTCATGGCTTTGGCCTCGTCTTTTTCCCCCAAGAACTTCAGAGTGAACGTAAGCTCCTATGTACCTCTCTCTCCTTTTTGCCCCCAAACTCTATCTCCCTCTTTTTTTTTTTTTTTTTTTTTTTTCCCCTTTTCTTTCTGAGTGATGGTTTGCCTAATATCTCTACTCTGGCCTTGAGCTCCCTTTGTAGCCAAGACTGGAGACTGGCTTTGAACTTGTCATCCTCCTGCTTCAGCCTTTGACTGTTGTTGCCTATGCTAGCAGGCCTGGCTTGAATTTCTAAGTCTTAATTTCTTTCTTTCTTTCTTTCTTTCTTTCTTCCTTTCTTTCTTTCTGTCTTTCTTTTTTTTTTAATTGAAGTTGGAATTTCTTTTGATCGTTACTTGATGCCTCTTCTGGCTTTTGGGAACATTGCACCCACATGGTGCACAAACATACACACAGGCAAAAAGCCCATAAACACAAAATAAAAATAATCTTAAGCCTTTAATCCAGCACTCAGGAGGCAGAGGCAGGTGAATCTCTGTGAGTTCAAAGCCAGCTTGATCTACAGAGGGAGTTCCAGGGCAGGCTCCAAAGTAATACAGAGAAACCCTGTCTTGAAAAATCTAAATAATAATCTTAAAAAATATAACTTAATTTATATAAGAAAATGTAAATACAGAGAAAAGGCTTAAAATGAACATTAAAATATTTAACTGAGAATATCTGTGTGTGTGTGTTCATGCTTATGCACTAATGATCAAACTCAGGTTCTTGTGCATACTGTATTCTATGATTCTCCAAGCCCCTAAAAAATAAAAAACAGCTGTTTATAGTTATTTGTTTGTTTTTAGACAATGTCATATGTAGCCAAACTAGGCTACAAACTGTAGCTAAGGATGACTTTGAACCCCTGCTGCCACCTGAGTGCTAGGAATATGTGTATGTGCCATAATCAGTTAAGCAGTATTATGGCAAGCGCTTTGTCAGTTGAGTTGACCCTATAAAGTGTTTGTTGTAGCCTATCAATCTTACTGTAATAATAACAAGAGCAACAATAACAGCTGCTGTCTGGAAAGGACTTGGTATAAATGTCATCTCTGACTAGACCATGAATTCTTTCAGGGGAGAAACCTAGATCCATTTTTGACATGTGATCTTCATATAGTAAATATTCAATTCATATTTGCTAAGTTGATTTAAATATTAACTAAAATTTTATTTAAAATGTTGTTTTTCTAGGAGAAGCATGAATCAGAAGCTACTGAAGTTGGAAAACCTGCTACGATTTCACACTATTTGTAGACAGTTGCACAGCTTGAGTCAAAGAAGATTGTTAGCGTGGTGGAAGCATGGGTTTTCACCGGCTTATCCACTGTGGCCAGAGCAGCTATGTGCCTGGCCCTGGCAGACAGACATGCTTGTTGGTGCCGCGTTATGTCAGCACAGACTTTTTGTGACAAAGAAGGTTGTTGCCAATTTATATTACTTGATCTGAAGTCAAAGTGTACAGAACTATGTATAGAAATATTTTTTTATTTTTGTCATTTATGGAATATTGCATAAAGCTATATTCTACACAGGTCTTTGTGATAACAGGAAGTTCTGTTTTTATTTAAGTATTTAATTTAGTATTACAAGAGTGTTTGCTGATAGGAATAGCTTTAATTGTGGTAAATTTAACAAAATAAATCTAAATTGTCACTTAGAGTTTTCTTCCTTCACGCAGGCATTGTGGTGCATGCCTTTAATTCCAGCACTTGAGAGGCAGAGGCAGGTGGATCTCTGAGTTCAAGACCGGGACAGCAAGGGCTACACAGAGAAACCTTGTATTTGGGGGGGGGGGAAATGGAGTTTTTTTTTCTTCCTTCTTGCTTATATGTTCTATCTTTTTAATAGGAAAAAAGACCATTGAGATCTCAGTTATCTCCACTAAAACCTAAAAGGGATGTAGAAGTATGGGTTGGAATGACTGTCGAAGAACTAGCCAGAGCCATGGCAAAAGACATAGGTGAGCCTGATAAGTTCACAAGAAAATATCCGGGGCTCTGAAAATCTTTGGGATTTTGTCTCTGTTTTGTTTTGTTTTGTTTTTCCAAGACAAGATTTCTCTATTTAACAGCTCTGGCTGTCCTGGAGCTCACTCTGTAAATCAGTCTGGTCAACTCCACCTGCCTCTGCCTCCTGAGTACTGGGATTAAAAGTATGTGCCACCACCCCTGGGCCAAGCTTTGGGTTTCACTTGCAGTGAAGTTAAGGCATCCTAGGCGAGTTGGACTAGTATTTCACATGTTAAATTATACTGATTCTTTTCATTTTAGATTACAAGGCCTGATCTTAATTCCTTCTCAAATGTAACTCTCTAAGCTTTTTTAGTGAATATGAAAAAGATTTCTGTATGGTTGGCAAGATGTCTAGAGAAGTTAAAAGAATTGGCTACAGAATATACAGAATGGCACATACCTTTAATTCAAGCACTTGGGAGGCTGTAAATTCAAACCCAGCCTGGTCTACATAAAAAGCTCCAGGCCAGCTAGGTCTCACACAGTAAGCCCCTTCATTCAATAAAACATAAAAAAAAAATAAAAAAGAACATTGGCTACTCTTGCAGAAGACCCAAGTTTGACATGGTAGTGCACAACTTTAATTCCAGCACTAGGGAGGCAGAAGCAGGAGGATCTCAGTGAGTTTGAGGCCAGGCTAGTCTACAAAGCAAGTTCCAGGACAGCCAGGACTACACAGAGAAACCCTGTCTTGAAAAAACGAAAACATAAAAAAAAAAAAAAAAAAAAAAAAAAAAAGACCCAGGTTTGGTTTTCAGCTTACAACTCTTGTACCTCTAGTTCCCAGGAATATGATGCCCCTTCTGGTCTCTGGGCATCAGGCATGCAGGAGGTGCACAGACAGACATGCATGGAGGCAGGCAGAACACTAACACACATTAAATACAATTCAAATAAATAAAAATTAAAATTTACGTCTACATATGGTGGTGCACACCTTTTATCACAGCACTGGGAAGGCAGAGGCAGGTGGATCTCTGTGAGTTTGAGGCCAACCTGGTCTACATAGTGAGTTCCAAGATAGTCAAGGCTATTTAGAGATACCCTAAAGTCATAAAATTTCTGGACTGTTGGTGTAAACCCAGACCTTCCCATTTACACCAAGGTGCTATATTATTTTTCTTGAGACTTGCTATTTTATGTATATTTTGCCTGCCTATATGTCTTTGTGCTCAAGGAAGCCAGAAGAGGACATAGGGTCCCCTAGAACTGGAGTTATATATGGTATTATAAGATGCCATGTGGCTACTGGTAATCAACCCAGGTCCCTGGCAGAGTTACCAGTGCTCTTAGCCACTGAGCCATCTCTCCTGTTCCTAATTTCCCATTCCTCTAACTAACTTTCCGATTTCTTTTTCTCACTAATTTGACAAATTGTTTAAGACACATAGGGATTTGTGGGAATAACTATAGCTCTTCTTAAAAAATTATACATTTTTAAGTGACACTTTTATACTTTTTTCCCTCCTTTTTCCTTACTCCCTCCCTCCCCCCTCTCCCTCCTTTCTACCTTCCTTCCTTCCTTTTTCCTAGAGTTAAAGATTGAGCTTGGGTCCTATACATGCTAGGACACCTATTTTTAAAAATCAAATCACACGCTGGCACATGGCATGCTATCCCAGCAGGCAGGAAGTTGAGCCAGGAGGATCAGAGATTTAACACCCACCTCAGATATGGTCTCCAATACATAAATCGTAAACAAAGATAGTAAATATTCATGAAAACTTTTAAAAAGTATTGTATTTATTTGTTGTGTGTACATGTCCATGTGTGTACGCAGCCTGGGTTCAATACCTAGTAATTTCCTTTAACTATTTTCACTACCTTTGAATTATTAATAGCTGTCATATCTGTCTAGTGGAAACTCAGCCCAATGGTGTCAATTACACATCTCTTTCCAACTGCATCCATTGCACATGTTGGTGGCTTGAAATCAACTGTGACTAAAGGATTTCTGTGATGGGACTAGAAAGTACTGTAAATTTCTTATATTGACTGTTTTTGGTGGTGGTTGTTTTTGTTTGTTTGTTTGTTTTTGTTTTTGTTTTTGTTTTTTCTTGAGACAGAGTTATTCTGTGTAGCCCTGGCTGTCCTGGAACTCACTCTGTAGTCCAGGCTGGCCTTGAACTCACAGATTTACCTGTCTCTGCCTCCCAAGTGCTGGGATTAAAGGTGTGCACTACCATCACCCAGCCTTTTATTAACTTTTTGTTGACAACTTCCCTATTTACTAACACACCACTAAAATGAAAGTTCTTTGCACTCTTCTCTCTCTCCCTTTCTTTTGAGAAAGGTCTTACTGTGTAGCTCAGTCTGACCTCTTTAATTCCTGCCTCAGTCTCCTAAGTAGCAGAATAGACACATGCACCACCTACGTTCTGCTTACTTGGGAATAACTTTCTTTAATGTTTATTCTTTACTTTATGCTTTTACATTATGCTTGGTGTCTGGGTACACAAAATTACTTATTCTCATCATGGATAGCTTTATTTTTATACGTAGAGAAACATCATAGACTGAAACAGTATTTTTTTTAAATGTTTTATTTATTATTTTGCTTTTTTTTTAAAAAAAAAAAAAAATGTGTGTATGGGTCTTTTACGTAGGTGTGTGTGCCTGGTGCCTACAGAGGCATTGGATTCCTTGAAACTGAAGTTACAGATAGTTGTGAGCCACCATGTGGTTGCTGGAAATTAACTCAGGACCTCTGTAAGAGTAGCCAGTGCTCTTACCTGCTGAGCCATCTCTTCATCCCCAAGAACTCAATATTTAAACATTTGTATTCATGGTTATAAAAGATTGTGTTTTATCCCAACCAGATTATATATATGAAGCTCTGTTGAACACTGCCATTGACATAGACTCACTAGAAGTAAACTCACATTTAGATGAAGTCTGGATCAAAGAAGTAATAAAGAAGGCAGGAATGAAGCTGAGATGGAGCAAATTAAAACAGGAGAAAGTAAGAGAAAACAAAGATGCTGTAAGAAGGTAACACCTGTGTATTAACTGAACCATGTGCTTTTACTCAACATCTTATGGGAAATTTTACTTTGAAATTTCTTTTGTAGTTAAAATGGTATGTGACTACAGAGTAAATATTTATCCAATGCATCAGAAAGTATATTCACCTTTTTATGAAACTATAAATATGATTGTTTTTTCTTAGCTTGTTGAGTAGTATATATTAGTCTGACTTTGTTTCTGATTTTTTTTGAGACGGGGTTTCTCTATGTAATAGTCCTGCCTGTCCTGGAATTATCTCTGCAGATTAGGCTGTCCTCAGACTCACTAAGACGCTCCTGCCTCTTCCTCCAGAGTGCTGGAATTAAAGGCATGTGCCACCACTGCCTGGCTCTAATAGTCTGAATTTTAAATTTTGATTCAATTCCACCCATTAATATGAAGATGCCAACTTTATAACAAACAGGAAATCGTTGACTATTCTGCCATAAGTTGTTCTGTGTAAAAATGGGGGAAAATAGTTATTTCCAGTCAAACCCAATTGTTGTATTTTGTTGTTAATGGGAACTTGTAGTGATTCACAATTACTTCTGACATTTAGGAAATGAAACTCCTTTGCTGTTAATTGTAGGCCCCAGGCAGACCCAGCTTTATTAACGCCAAGATTCCCAGTTGTTACTATAATGGGTCATGTTGATCATGGGAAAACGACATTACTTGATAAACTTCGAAAGACTCAAGTGGCGGCAATGGAAGTTGGAGGCATCACTCAGCACATTGGTGCCTTTCTTGGTATGAACACAGATAACATTAGTGTGCTTAGGAGCCTACTTGTTTTCTTTAATCAAATGTCATACTGTGCAGTTTACAGATTCTAAGTAAGGAGGCTACTTAGAGCCACTGGGTAATCAAGTGTAGAGCCGGCATTTAACAGGCACTCAGACTCTGCAAAAACAAAGCTATTTTGCTATTTTAGGTTTAATGAGCATAACCTCTTTAATTATGTGTATATAATGTCAGATGTAAGCTGGATAGTGTTCTTAATAACAATGACATAGTAGCCACCATTTTTTTGCTATGTTAAGCATTTTATATTCTCTGTTTTTTTATCTTTACAACATCATGCAGTAGGTATTAATATTTCTCTTATGATCTGTAAGCCCCTAAGGGGCTCAATAACATGTCCAAAGTACATAGCTGATAACTAGCAAAGTTAGGATTTAAACCTGCTATTATTGAACTCAAACTTGAAGCTATCAGCTGTCTACTAAATTGCCTTTTTGTGGCTCAAGATAATTGCATAGCTGCAGTTTGCTGATGTGGAAGTGATCACCCTACAGCTATTGGTGAATTCTCTCCAGAATGGTACTCAATCAATACATTTATCATAGCAGGTATATTCTAGAAACACAAAGAATTTTAGCTTGAAATTATTACATGAAAAGAAAGACCTCATGGTCTCTTTGTATTTTATGTTTTCTTTATCAAATTTCACTCTGTTTTCTTCTGGTTAAAATAAGTGGAAGCAATTAAAGAATTAGTGAATACCAGTATATGTATTTATATTTCAGTACCAATACACACCATACACACATACACACACACGTCTGTGTATATCATATATTCCTTCATGTTAAAAGGTAAATTGAGTTAATTGGTGTCCTTGCATTTCTATTTCCACAGTCTCTCTGCCTTCTGGAGAAAAGATAACCTTTCTTGATACTCCTGGACATGCTGCCTTCTCAGCAATGAGAGCCAGAGGAGCTCAGGTCACTGACATTGTTGTGTTGGTTGTAGCTGCAGATGACGGGGTGATGAAGCAAACTGTAGAGTCTATTCAGCATGCACAAGAGGCACAAGGTATGGAGGTGCTGTGCTGAACTCAAAAAGTAGGAAGTTGCCCCTTTTTTTTTTTTCTTCTTTTTACAGGCCTATAAAGATTATAGCTGGGCATGGAAGCATACACCTTTAATCCTAGTACTTGGGAGAGAGGCAGGGGTATCTCTTGAGTACAGGAAAGCCTGATATACAGAGGGACTTGGATGCCTTACATCCAAGTCTACACAGAGAAACCCTGTTTTAAAAGGAAAAAGGCAAAACAAAGATGTAACTCTGGGGACTAGGGAAGTGTTTCATCGCTTAGGAGCACTGGCTATTCTTCCATAGGAACTGGTTTTCGTTCCCAGCACCCACTTGGCAGCTCACAACCATCTGTAACTTCAGTGCCAGGAGATTCAATTTCCTCTTTTGGCCTCTTAGGATACAAGGCATACATGTGGTACACGTATATAACATGTAGGCAAACACAAAATAAAAGAAAATAAATTATCCTTTTATGAAATCTTATTTTTTTTCTTTGAGAGTTTTGTTTGTATTTTAATCATTTCATCTTTCCTCCCTAACATTCCAGATATATCCCTTTTTACCCTTCACCCAACTTTTGTGTCCTTTAAAAAAATAAACAAAAACGTTCTAGACCAATTTGTACTGCTTCAAATAGTCTTGAATGTGTGGTCTGATGTACAGTCTGTTTACTGGAGGCTACACTCTTAAGAGAAGACTGTCTCCATCTTTCCCAGAAATTCACAGTTGCTAATAGCTCCGTAGCTAGGAGCAGGATTGTGTGTCTAACTCTTCCCTCTTTGCTGAGATATGGTCTAACCTAGTCTTGCACAGGTTTTATGCATGCTGTCACCACCACTTTGAGTTTATAGTAGAGCTTCTGTGTCCAGAAGACAATATCTCCCTGTGGTCATCCACCTTTGGTTCTTACACTCTTTCTACACTGACTTCCACAGTAACCCCTGACCCTTGCAAGGGTGGATGTGAAGTATGTGTTCCCTTTATGGCTGAGCACTCTACAGTCTCTTACTCGCTGTACTTTGTCAGCTGTGGTCTCTGTGTTAATCTCCATCTCCTGCAAACAGAAGCTTCTCAGGTGAGGGCTGAGAAATATATTGATCCATGGGCATAAGTCACTAGGAGTCAGTTTAATGCTGTGTCCACATAGCAGCATAATAGTAGTATGTTCTCCCCTAGCTATAGGCTTTTAGTCCAGAAATGGTGACAGATAAGTATTTTAATCTTGTAGAGTGGGACTTAAATCTAATTTAAAAAATAACTGTTGGTTACTCCCATGTTGTTCATGAAACATCGCTACTAGTGACCATGTCTTACAAGGCCAGTTATTATTGTAGGTCAGAGGGGTAACAGCTGTATATGATTGATGAATATGTCAGTAGGAATGAAGTTTCAGGTCTATACTAGCTTGGTTTTGCCATATGGAATCTTCAGCAATAGGGTATTGGAGGCAGGAGACTCAGAAACTGAAAGTCATCTAGTGTATTTCTAGCCAGCCTGGACTAACATGTCTCAAAAAATCTTAGATCAGTGGTTCTCAACCTTGCTAACACTATGACTCTTTAATACAGTTCCTCATGTTGTGGTGATCCCCAGCCATAAAATTAGTTTCATTGTTATTTCATAATTGTAATTTTCAAACTGTTATGAATCGCAATGGAAATATCTGTGCTTTTCAGTGGTCTTTGGTGACCCCTGTGAAAGGGTGGTTTGATCCCCCAAAGGGGTAAGAACCCACAGGCTAAGAACTGCTGGCATAGAGGATGGGAGTGATGGTACACGCCTTTAACCCTAGCACTCAAGAGGCAGAGGCGGGTGGATCTCTGAATTCAAGACTAGCCTAGTTTACATAGCAAGTTCAGGGTAGCCAGGGACACATAGTATGACCCTGTTTTTTTTTTTTTTTTTTTTTTTTTTTTCTCTCTTTTTTTCCCAAGACAGTATAGCGCTGACTATCCTGGAATTCACTCTTTAGACCAGGCTGGCATTGAAGAGATTCACCTGCTTCTGCCTCTTGAGTGATGAGATTAAAAGAGTGTGCCACTGTACCTTACCTGAACCAGTGTTTTAAACCACTGAATCTTCTCTCTAGACTTTCTTGTTCTTATGTGTAGATAGAAGAATGGGATAATGTGAGTCTAAAGTGGCTCTTTTAGGCCTGAGTGAAGAGAAAACCAGAATGGGTTGGCATTGCTCCTAATGAATGTCTAGAACTAAAGGATTTTCATTTACACTTTCCCTGACTTTCTCTCTTCCAGTTCCTATTGTTCTTGCAATAAATAAATGCGACAAAACAGATGCTGATCCTGAAAAAGTGAAGAAAGAGCTTCTGGCTTATGATGTGGTATGTGAAGATTATGGTGGCGATGTTCAAGCCGTGCATGTCTCTGCACTTACGGTGAGTGCAGGTACCTCAGGGCAGAGGTGCTTGGTTGTGAACCCTGGATAGCCTACACAGCAATGCTTAGCCAAAGAACACTTTTTTTTTTTAGATAGGGTCTCTCTTTGACTGACCTGGAACTCACTAAGTAGACCCAGCTGGCCTGAAACACACAGCAGTCCCAAGTGCGGGGATTAAAGGTGTATGCCACCTCAACTAGCCACTTTTTATTTTTTATTTCTTTTTTTTTTTTTTTTCTAATTCTTTTTTTTCTTATTTTACATATCAATCCCAGTTACCTCTCCCTCCTACGCACCCATTCCCCATCCACTCCCCAAGGAGGGTAAGGCCTTCCAGGAGGGATCCTCGGAATCTGTCTCTAGGTTAAGAGAATGGGGAATGTGCTCCTGAAGTCCTTTCATGCACCAGGGATACATCCTGGATAGGTCTGTCCAGACCTTCTAACTGAGACCCACATTTACAGGGTCTGGGTTGATACAATGCTTGTTTCCCAGCTATCAGTCTGGAGTCCATGAGCTTCCCCCTTGTTCAGGTCAGCTGTCTCTGTGGGTTTCTGCAGCCTGGTCTTGACGCCTTTGCCCACCACTTCTCCCTGTCTGCAACTGGTGTCCCATTCAGCTCAGTGTTTAGCTGTGATTGTCTATTTCTGCTTCCATCAGCTATTGGATGAAGGCTCTAGGATGGCATATAAGGTAGTCATCAATCTCATTATCAGGGAAAGGCAGCCTCTCCACTATTGCTCAGATTGTTTAGTTGGGGTCATCCTTGTAGGTCTCTAGACATTTTACTAGTGCCAGATTTCTCTTCAAACCTATAATGGCTCCCTCTATTATGGTATCTCTTTTCTTGCTCTCCTCTGTTCCTCCCCTACTCAATCTTCCTGCTCCCTCATGTTCTCCTCTTCCCTCCTCTTCTCCCCTTCTCTTTCTCCTAACTCCCTCTCCACTCACTGCCCCTGTCTCTCAATATGCTCAGGAGATATTGTCCCTTTCCCCTTCTGTGGGGAAGCATGTATGTCTCTCTTAGGGTCATCCTTGTTTCCTAGCTTTTATGGCGGTGTGAATTGTAGGCTGATAATCTTTTGCTCTTTGTCTAAAATCTACATATGAGTGAGTACATACTGTGTTTGTCTTTTTGTGACTGGGATACCTCACTCAGGATGGTTTCTTCTAGTTCCATCCATTTCCCTGAGAATTTCAGGATTCCATTGTGGTTTTTGTTTTTTGTTTTTTTTTTTTTTTTTAAACAGCTGAGTAGTACTCCATTGTGTAAATGTACCACATTTCTCCATCCATTCTCCAGTTGAGGGGCATCTAGGTTGTTTCCAGGTTTTGGCTATTACAAATAATGTTGCTATGAACATAGTTGAACAGAGTGGAGTTACCGGACCCTGTGGTAAACTGATTCCATTTTCCTGAGGAACTGCCATACTGAACTCCAAAGTGGCAGTCCCACCAACAGTAGAGGAATGTCCCATACCATCCTGAACTTGCCCGATCTCGTCTGATCTCAGAAGCTAATCAGGGTCAGGCCTGGTTAGTACTTGGATGGGAGTCCAGTTTTTAGTTTTTTTTGAGACAGTCTCAAATTACCTATGCAGCCCAAGTGATACAATTACAGTAGTAGTCCCACCACACTTGGTTTATGCAGTGTTGGGCATCGAACCTTCATGCATGAGAGGTAAGTGTTCTACCAACTCTGCTACATCACTAGCCCCTTAAAAAATCATTTTGAGATACAGACTTGTATTTTATTACTTTGTGTGTAGGTGTTTTGTGTATATGCAGTGCTCTAAAGGTCAGGTGTTGGATTTCCTAGAACTGGAATCATTGATGTTTGTGATGGATGGTTGTGAGCCACCATATGGGTGCTGGGTATCAAACCTGGGTGTTCTGCATGGACAAGTATATGTACTACAACTTAAACACTGCACCATCTCTCTAGCCCCATAATTTGTAGTTTTAAAAAATTGTTCTGGGGCTGGAGAGATTGATCACAACCATCTCTAATGAGATCTGCTGCCCTCTTCTGGCATGTACAAAGAATACAGTATACATAATAAATCTTTTTTATTGTTTTGAGTGCGGGGGAGATGGCTCCCTTGGTAAAGTGCCTACCTAAGGAGCATGAGGACCTGAGCTCGACCCAGCCCACATGACAGCTATATAAGGTGGCACATGTCTTAACCGCAGTACCAGGAGACAGCTGCATCCCTGGAGCATTATGGTTAAGCAGCCTAGCCAGTCAATGAGCTCTGGGCTCAGTAAGAGACCTTATCTTACAAAATAAGGCAGAAGAGATGGGAAGAATGCAGGTCTGAGGAGCACTCGTCACTCTACAGAGAGCCTGGGTTTATTTCCCAGCACCATGGTATCTCACAACTTACTGTGACTCCAGTTCCAGAGCATGCCACAGCCTCCTTTGACCTCTAGGCACCAGGCACACACGTGGTATACATACATGCATACATACATACATACAGGCAAAATAGTCATATATAGAAAAGAAAATAAGCTAGAGAATGATAGAGGAAGGCACCTGACATGGGTGTCAGGCCTCTTCCCTCCTTCTCTCCCTCCTGTCTCTGTCTCTCTCTCTCTCTCTTAGTACTAGGCAAGGTGACATCATTGTTTTGATTTGGCAAATTAAGAACTGGACTCAGAGAGTTGGGTCAGTTATGCTAGTCATGGTAATAGAGCCAGTTGGTGGAGGAGTGATTCTAAACCTAACCCTTGTTAAATTATAAGATATTTAAAACAAGAGGACTAAAACAAGTGACATGGGGATAGGGCAATAGTGGGCTAAGATTGTTCTTTGTGCAGTTTTCTTTTTGAGATAAGATTGCACTGTTTGTCCCATGTGGCCTTAAATCCATTATGTAGCCTAGAGTGGGTTTGGTTTGGGACTGTACTGCCTCAGTCTCCCTTCCAAGGGCTGAAATTGTTGGTGTATACCACCACACTTGTCCTAGGCTTGTTTTAAGCAAAACTGATGACCAGTTGATAACAAAAGTTCTAATGTTTCATGTTTTGTCTAAGTAGAAAACAATAGAATAGGTCTTTGAATATTTAAGAGGGATTTGAGTAGCTAAAAATGACTACTATTAACTTTGTTTGTAAACTTGACAATATCTGGAATTGCTGAAGACTCTGGGATTATCTGTGAAGGGATATCTTTTTTCTTTTTGATAAATTTATTTTTGAGCTGGGCATGGTGACACACACATTTAACCCCAGGCAAAGGCAGGTGAATCTGTGAGTGTGAAGCCAGCCTGGTCTACAAAGTGAGTTCCAGGCCAACCAGATCTACATAGTGAGACCCTATCTCCAAAAACCTAAAAATACTTAAATTATTGTTCATGCCAGGATGTGGGAGTACATGCTTTTAATCCCAGTACTTGGGAGGCAGAGGCAGATAGAACTCTGAGTTTGAGGTCAGCTTGGTCTACAAAGCAGAGCTAGCTGGCTACACAGATAAGATCCCTTCTCAAGAAAATGTATTGTTTGAGAATTTCCTACATGTAATTATTTTGGATTTTCTGTTGTTTTTGTTTTTCAAGACAGGGTTTCTTTGTGTAGCTGTGGCTATCCTAGAACTCACTCTGTAGACCAGGCTGGCCTTGGATTCAAAGAGATCCACCTGCCTCTGCCCCCTAAATGTTGGGATTAAAGGGATATGCCACCACTGCCTGGCTCATACAATGTTATTTGATCAAATACATTCCTATTCCCTCTTCCCCACCTCCTCCTGTAACCACCACCCCCCTTTCCTTACCAACTTCAAGACCTTTTTTTTTAAACTCAATGAGTTCACTTAGCACTGCCAGCATGTGATGGGTGGGTATAGGGCCATCCTCACATCCCTGAGGAAAACTGATGCTCTCTCCCCTCAAGAAGCCATCAATTGCCAAGAGCTTGTGATGAATTATCTAGATTCAGTGAGGATAAAAGCCAAGTACCACACCCTCGTCAATAACATGCTCCTGCCGTCATGTTTGTTGGTGTTTTCCCATAGCAAGAAGCAAAGCACTAAGGCTGGTTTGTTGTGGCTTATTGGATGTGTCTGTACACTAATGTGGTTTTTCCAAATGCATTTATGTTGAACTCCATTTTATTCTCAGTTATCACTTCAACTCTCTGGATGGAAATCATAGCCATATTTACTCATTAGCTATGACGTAGAGCTTGTAACTCACCTCTAGGCCAGCATCTTCCAGTTCTCTTCAGGCTGCTACTGAGTTATGATTTCCTTGGTCCATTCTTTTCATATTCCACAATTCCTCATAATAACACCCTCCCCCCATTCACTGAAGGGATAGTTCTGGGTGCTGTTATTTTTCTAATAATCTTTATTTTCCTTACATTTGGCCCTTCTAAGATGCTTAGGGCTATTAACTGGTGTTAGGAATAAGCTGATGGGCATGAGATCCTGCTGTTCTCCATGTCAACTACGGGGCTGTTAATTCTTTTATTTTTTTCCAGAACAGGGTATGTCTGTGTAGTTCTGGCTATCCTGGAACTCTGTAGATCAGGGCACTGGGCTCAATCCTTAGTATCAGAAAAAGGGCACAGGTTTGAAGATGAGACACCTTGTCTGGCAGTGATGATACATGCTTTAACCCCAGCACTCAGGAGGCAGAGGCAGGTGGATCTCTGAATTTGAAGCCAGCTTGGTCTACAGAGTGTGACAAGGAACTCTCTATAGACAGGCTGGCCTGGAACTCAAAAGATCTACCCACCTCTACCTCTTATTTCCATGCTGGGATTAAAGGTTTATACCACCACACCCAGGTGAGCTATGTGGTCTTGGTGTCATAGGGAGCATAGGGAACATACACCACTGAAGGTAATTGAATAATCTAATCTAGCTTTATATTATAGTTGAAGACATTCCAGGGAGGTGAAGTGATTTTTCAAGTTAAATAAGTGGGTGGTTGCAGAGTGTAGTTTAAAACTCATATCTAGGGGCTGGAGAGATGGCTCAGAGGTTAAAAGCACTGGTGCTCTTCCAGAGGTCCTGAGTTCAATTCCCAGCACAACATGGTAGCTCACAACCACCTATAATGAGATCTGGTGCCCTCTTCTGACCTGCAAGCACAATACCATATACATAATAAATCTTGTTTTTTTTTTTTTTTTTTTTAAACCCTCATATCTAAGCAGTTTTCTTTTTATTTATTTAATATTTATAGATTCTTGAGTAGCTGGATAATAGAGAGACTTGTTCCACTGGATAATTTTGAAGTATGAAGTTGCATCATTAAGGAAGTTTCTGAAAAGAAGACGACATAGCCGTGTCCATATGTCTGTGATCCTAGTATTTTGGGAGACTGAATCACAAGGAGAACAGATATGAATTTGAGGCCAGCCTGGGTTCTTTATTGAGCAGTGATTTCCAGGCAGACATGGGCTATAGTGTGACATCATCTTTAAGAAATACAAAACACAAATGCTGGAGAGACAACTCAGTAGTTAAGAGCACTTAACGGTTCTTTCAGAGGATCTGGGTTTCATTCTCAGTACTCACATGATGGCTCACAACTGGCAGTAACTCACATACATTCTTTGGCCTCTTCTAGCACCAGGCATGCACTTCATGCACTTGGTGGATATACTTACATGCATACACATAAAATAAAAATAAGTTAATAATTTTTAAATACAAAAAGAAGAAAACCACAATTGTAGAAGCAGATAGAGGAAACAGAATGAACTGAATGAAGCTTGTTTATCAAAGATATTAGTGAGTACCACAAATGGCTGTCTATTACAATATACTTGTTCCAGCTAGGCAGTGGTAGTGAGTGCCTTTAATCCAAGCACTTGAGAGGCAGAGGCAGGCCTCTTGAGTTCAAGGCCAGCCTGGTCTACAGAGCTAGTTCCAGAACAATCAGGGCTACACAGAGAAACCCTGTCTAGAGAAACCAAATATATGTATACGTATATATATTTGTTCCTTTAAATATTAATCCTGGAGTCAGGCTTTCTTCTTAATAGCTCTCTACTTCCTTTTTTTTTTTTTTATAAAATTGGTGATTTCATGATTTAATTCTTAAAAAGAAAACTGTAACTTACCCTGACATTACTAATATTATTTGCTAATGTGTATTAACCCTTTTTGTTAAAGGGAGATAATCTGACTGCTTTGGCAGAAGCAACAATTGCTCTCTCAGAAATGTTGGAACTGAAAGCAGATCCCACAGGTCCAGTGGAAGGAACAGTAATAGAGTCTTTCACCGACAAAGGAAGAGGGTAGGATTGCACTTAAATGACTCTAATAATTCTGTTTGATGGTTTTTGTGGCTTAGTTATATGACAATATATATACTGTATAGTTTTAGTTTTTGAGCCATATTTTCAAAGAATGCTTTCAATGTATTTTATTGCACTAGTACACAGACCACAAAAATGAAGTTGTCAGTACCTAGTCACACTTAGATGACTAAAATAGTTAAATTGGTTTGGCTTTTAACCCCACTATTTGCATTTATAGGTAGACTGACAATGAACTGGAGTGAAATATTATTTGTTGCATTTTAATTTCTAATTCTTTCACTTGAGCCAAGAATCTAATTTGTAGGAAGGTCTTTGTAATGGCATGTTCTTATTGAATGTTCTGCCTATAAGAGATTTTCTTGTTGCTTTGAACCCTGTTAGCAGCATGTAGAATGGGGTAGAAAATGGGGTAGGATTGAATTAGAACAATCTGCCATGGTTCCTTCCCCTGCTTAGGTACTCAGTATAGTCACATAGGACTTGATATTCATGATTGCCTTGTCTCAGCAGGAGACAGGTTCCCTTGTGTGCCCATTCATCTGTTGAAAGATTTGGGTCTGGCTGTGTGGTGGTGCATGCCTTTAATTCCAGCACTCGGAAAGCAGAGGCAGGTGAATTTCTGTGAGTTCGAAGACAGCCTGGTCTACAGAGCTAGTTCTTGGATAGCTAGGGCTGTTAGACAGAGAAACCCTGTCTCAAAAAAAAAAAAAAAAAAAAAAAAACAAAATAAAAAGAAAGATTTGAGCTGCTTCTATTTCTATTTGTATTCCTTGGCAGTTGTAAAAAATACTTTATTCTTGTTTTTTGTCATGATGAGGACAAGCCTGAGGCCTATTTCTGTAACCCCAGCATTTTGAAGGTTGAGGCTGGAAGAATCAAGACCAGGCTAAAATAAAAGACTGTATCAAGAAACCATCCTGAGAGCCTAGAGAAATAACTCCACAGTTAAGAGCACCTGGTGCTTCTGCAGAGGACCCAGATTAAGTTCCCTGTACCTTTATGGTGCCTCAAAGCAGTAATTCCAACTCCAAGGATCTGATGCCTTCTTCTGAGAGCACCAGAGGAGCATGTGGTGCACATACATATGTACATATACACATAAATACATACATGCGAGTGAAACACTCAGACACATAGATAAATCCCACACAACCACACTGAAAACAAAAGCCTGGGATTTTGCACATTAGGCAAGTATCCCCTGATAAATCCTTGGCCAAGTAAATGTCTTTGTAGTACCCAAAGCTGCTTGAGAAATTCAGAAGGGAATTAATCCTCTATATTCATAGGGATGTGTACAATTTCATCCTGATTACAGCATTAAGAATATTTACTTTTTATATTCATTTTAGTCCTGTTACAACAGCTATAATTCAAAGAGGAACTCTAAGAAAAGGCTCAATTCTAGTTGCTGGGAAGTGTTGGGCAAAAGTTCGACTAATGTTTGATGAAAATGGAAAAACTCTTAATGAGGCCTATCCCAGCATGCCAGTGGGAATCATAGGCTGGAGAGACCTCCCTTCTGCCGGAGATGAAATTCTTGAAGTAGAATCTGAGGTATGCAAGCCTAATTTTTGAATGTTAGATATTAATGATGGCTTTACGTACAGGTCTATAATATTTAATATTAAATAAGAGTGCTAATGTTGGCTGGGCACTAGAGGCGAATGCCTTTAATCCCAGCACTCTGGAGGCAGAGGCAGGTGATCTCTATGAGTTCAAAGCTAGCCAGGTCTACAGAGTTCCAGAACAGGCTCCAAAGCCACAGAGAAACCCTGCCTCAAAAAACAAGAAAAAAAAAAAAAAAAGAGAGAGAGAGAGAGAGTGCTAATGTTAACATAATTATAGTTTGTAAGGGACTTTTTCTGAGCAGTATAGCTTGTATTGATTTCATTGCTTCTATTTTATCAGTCAGTTCTTAAGTAAAAGTGCTTTTAGTGATAAAGCCATTCCTGTCTTGGCTTTAAAATAGATTCTCATTTTAGAAGTTAACTATATAGTATTATGCTTTTTCAGATAGTTTTTAAAATTGTTTTAATTATATACAAAATTCCTAAAGTTGTATTTTTTGAAACTTGTAAAAATTAGTGCTTTCGGGCTAGAGAGGTGGCTCAGAGGTTAAGAGCACTGGCTGTTCTTCCAGAGGTCATGAGTTCAATTCCCAGTAACCACATGGTGGCTCACAACCATCTGTAATGAGATCTGATACCCTCTTCTGGCCTGAGGGCATACATGCAGACAGAACACTATATACATGATAAATAAATAAATCTTAAAAAAATTAGTGCTTTCACTCATGAATTGAGCTTTTAACCTAGCAGACACTGGTGTCTGTTTCAGTAAGTCATGACTGTTTTCCCTTTAAAGCCAAGGGCCCGAGAAGTTGTTGACTGGAGGAAGACTGAGCAGAAAGAGGAAAAGGGCAAGGATGACCTGAAAATAATGGAGGAGCAGAGAAAGAAACACCAGGAAGCACACCGGCAAGCCCGAGAGAAGTACGGCAGTGTGCACTGGAGGAGGAGGTCCTACATAAAGTACCTGGAAAGAAAAGAGCAAAGGCCCTTAAAGCCCAAAGAAAAGGCAGGCAAGGACTCAAATGTGCTTCCGATCATTATTAAAGGTAACTTTTTGAAGGGTTTACTTTACAATTCACCATTTAAACCTTTTTTTTTTTTTTTAATCCTCATAATTTGGAACGCCTCTCCTTTATTTATTTGTTTGTTTATTACGGAGGGGGAAAGGGAATGGCCAAACTCACTTGCCCTAGAAGCCAGGCTGACCTTTCCTCCTGCCCAATTTTAGGAATGCTATCTCAATGGTTTGATGTTCAAAAATCTTTTTCTGAGCAGTATAGCTTGTATCGATTTCATTGCTTCTTTCTATTTTATCAGTAAGTTCTTAAGTAAAAGTGCTTTTAGTGATAAAGCCATTCCTGTCTTGGCTTTAAAATAGATTCTCATTTTATATAACTGCCTCTTACAGCTAATAACATTTTAAACTCTTGCTGTATCTGTAGGTGACGTTGATGGGTCTGTGGAGGCCATCTTAAACCTTCTGGATACCTATGATGCTTCCCATGAATGTGAACTAGAATTAGTACATTTTGGACTAGGTGACATTAGTGAAAATGATGTCAACTTTGCTGAGACGTTTAATGGTAAAGATTCTTTCTGTTGGCTGTATGTTAATCTGTGTGAACCTTTTTACTTTTATTTTGTGATTGGCTGATAATTAGCCAGCATTCTCATCCTAGTGCATGGATAATCACAGACAATTTATCTGTCATGACCACTGCAACCTTGGGAACTATTGCAATACCAAGTACTGTTTATTTATGTTTGTTTGTTTTTATTGCCTTTTTTATTGCCTGGTCCCCAGTTCCACACTTACTCCAGGTATCTATCACTATCCTTTGAATTGCTCTTTATCTGTTAGCAGTCTACTCAGTAACTTCATCTTGTGACCTTCACCTTTCCAGTGCCAGGAAAGCTGATTTGCCCTTCTAACCACCTCGGGCACCAGGCATACTTACACATTATACATGCAAGCAAAACATTCACAATAAATCTAAAAATGTTTTAAATCATAAAGAAAACTCCTTTGTAAACAAGATTACAATTTATAAAATTCAGTAATAAAAAATATTGAAATTTTGCTAGTTTTCATAAGAACAGTCACAGAGCTTCTCAATAGCAATGTAATTTACAAAGAAGGAAATGAAACAATTCAGTTTGACTTTATACCTGAAAGACAATTAAGTGATTGTACTATAATCCTTGTGCTAGTGTATTCCTTTTTTCTGCTTGCTAGGTGTTATTTATGGCTTTAATGTGGACGCAGGCAAGGCTATCCAGCAAACAGCTGCACAAAAGGGAGTTAAGATTAAACTTCACAAAATCATCTACCATCTTATTGAAGATTTGCAGGAGGAACTAAGCAGCAGATTGCCCCACAGACTGGAGGAATATCCAATAGGTGAGTGCTGACTGCAACTTTCCTCAGGTGCTGTAAATAGCACCTAAAAGCAAAGCTTAGGGAAACATGTACTGTTTCAATACAAGGCTTATGTTCTAGAAAAAAGTGACTACCATGAGATGAATTTATGGTGACTTGTATGTCCTGTTCAACAAGAGTTAATTTAAGCCTAGAGAATACAAAACCAAACAAAGGGACTTGCCTCAAGTCTACACATGAACAATGACGGAGACTAAGCCTCTGATTTTGTCCTAAGACTGGCAAATATATATTGAAAGCATATTAAAAAAATAAAATTAAATAAAATTTAAAAAAATAAAAGGGCATATTAAATACCAAGTATTTTAAAGTATTCTAGCATATTTTTGTCTAGATTAAAGGCCAAATTTAAAATTGTATATAGTATTAAGTATTAACCCTAATAGTCTATTATTGATCAGATTTTGTGTAGTTTTGAGACAGGGTATCTTGTAACCTAGGCTGTCCCCAGCTGTACCCGAGTATAGCCTTGAATTTCTCATCCCAAGTCCTGGGATCAAGTCACATTCCCTAGCCCCCACCGAGATCAGGCTCATAAATTACATGTAGTTATCATCTCTCTTATAATCCTATTTATTCTAGAATAATTCTTTCATCCATCCCCTTTGACCTTCACATTTTAAAAAGTCAGCAACTTCATTTATCACACTTATTCCCTTGGTTTTTTAGTTTGAATCTATATAGATTTATTTTAGAATAATGATCACAGTATACAAAAATATTGTTCTGTTTTTCTACCAAGAGCAATTTGGAAGTCAATTGAGGGTTTCCAGAAGTGGATACACCAAATATTACTGACACCACCAGTCAGGAAACACACACACACACACACACACACACACACACATATATATCCAAAAATATATATATATATATATATCCAAAACAACAACAAAGGAAGTGATTTAAAGATAGCAGTGTGCTTTAGAAAACAGATTGAGCTAAATGATGGCTTGGAAGGCAGAGGCAGGCAGTCCCTGAGTTCAAGTCGAGCCTGGTCTACAGAGTGAATTCCAGGACAGCTAAGACTGCACAGTGAAACTCTTGTCTCAAATAAACCAAGGAAAGAAAATGTACTGAAGGAAAACCAAAGAGGTTTTGTTTGAGACAGGGTCTCTCTATGTAGCCCTGGCCATCCTGGAACTTCTCTGTTAACCAGACTTGGCCTTGATCTCAAGAGATTCATTCACCTGTGCCTGCCTCTGCCTCCCACATATTGGGATTAAAGTTGTACACCACTGCCCAGAAACAGATTTTCATGGAGCAGAGAAATTACTCAAGAATTTTTATGTTTATGGGTATTATACCTGCAGGTCAGTCTATGCACATGTCTGGCCAAGCCTTTGGAGGCCAGAATTGAAGGCTGGATTCCCCTGGGACTAGAGTTACAGATACTCATGTGCCACCAAGTAGGTGCTGGGCATTAAACCAGGGTCAGTTTTTAAGTGCTAAATTATCTCTCCAGTCCTTGAGACTTTTCACCTGTTGTTAAATTAGTGGTATCAAAGAAATACTATTTCTCAAACTAATTTTGTTTTTTGTTTGTTTTAAAGACAGGGTTATCAATATATAGTGATGGCTGGCCTGGAATTTACATTGTATAGACCATCTGCTTCCAGCCATTACACTTTCTTCCATTGTTTTCTTCCTAAAGGTGAGGCTTGCATACTAGCTACCTTCTCTGTAACAGAAGGAAAGAGAAAAGTTCCTGTGGCTGGCTGCAGAGTTCAAAAGGGACAGTTAGAAAAACAGAAGAAGTTTAAATTAATCCGAAATGGACAAGTTATTTGGAAGGGTAAGCAATATTAAAATCTATTTCTAAATCCTATTCACAAAATCCTGGTAGCAAAACCTATGCATTTTTCAGTTGTCTACCTTTAGCTTATGCCATTTCTTAGTCTTCCCAATTAGTTGTGATGACACCCCAGGATTAGTCTTGGTTTTGTTAAAAACTACCTGTTTCTCTCCACTACCATTCGGTTCAACCCCATATTCTTTTTCTAGACAGGGTTTCTCTGTGTAGCTTTGGGAGACTGTCCTGGAACTCTCTGTAGATTAGGAAATCTGCCTGCCTCTGCCTCCCAAGTGCTTGTATTATGTCCTTTTGTCCCAAAGGCCACACACAATGCACACTAGGGAACTCCCTGAGTGGTCTTCAGACTTGCCTATCTTCTTTTGCCGATTTTTTCCAAGAGTGCAATTTTATACTACCTTTAAAATGTTGAGATTTCAGATCTATCAGGCCAACCTTCAAATACTTTTTGGACTTCCCTGGTATTTACTCTAACTTAATATATATGTTGTGTGGGAGGGCATAGCCAAATAGCTCAGCAGGTAAAGGCATTTGCCATAGAAGCCTGACAACTTGAAAATCTCACATGAAGGTAGAGAACCATATTAAACCAAATTATCATTTAGTAGATATTTGTTGAATATACTAACAGTGGCTTGTTTTTTCTTTTAAGGCTCATTGACCTCACTGAAACACCATAAAGATGATGTTTTGGTCATCAAAACTGGAATGGACTGTGGTCTTATTTTAGATGAAGAAAAAGTAGAATTTAAAGTGGGAGATGAAGTTGTTTGTTATGAGGAAAATGAAATACCAGCTAAGACTTCTTGGGATCCAGGATTTTAAAAATACAATTAAAAATGATAAATGTATTGTTTGCTTTATTTAAAAACAGGGCAGTAGCAACCTCCTGCCCAGCCTCAAAATTACTAAGATTAAGCACCATGCCTAGCTTCTTTTTCTTATATAGCAAATATCTGCCTTATTGGAGATAAAAGTTACCAATGAGGCCAGGTAGCAATGATACAAACCTTTAGTCCCAGCACTTAGAAGGCAGAGGCAAGTGGATCTGAGTTTGAGACCACCCTGGTCTATGAGAGCTAGTTCCAGGACAGCCTCCAAAGCCACAGAGAAACCCTGTCTCGAAAAACCAAAAAATTATGTATATGGGAGTGCTGTCATGCATGTATGCCTGCACGACAGAAGAGGGCATTGGATCTCACTATAGATGGTTGTGAACCACCATGTGCTTGCTGGGAATTGGAACTCAGGACCCCAAAGAGCAGCCAGTGCTACCTCTCCAGATGAATTCATCTTTTGGTGGTGGCCTCTAGTTCCATGAACAGAAACTAACCATTCTTTGAGGCACAGGACATTACCCAACTCCTTAAAGAATTCTGACTCATGTCTATAGCAAGTCAGGAAAACTGGCTTAGATTCAGAATGCAAGCAAATTCTTCAACATGCAGCTGGCACCTCTCAGGCAGGAACCCCAAAAGGACTAGTCACACAGCCCAAGAAATATTCTCTAGATATACAATAAAACTCAACACTAAACATCAGTTCCTGTCTTTTTATTTATTCAACATACACAACTACTTGTCTTCTGGTTTGTTGAAGCAATAAGTCAGACAACATTTGCCACAGTAATGTCTGTCAAAATGGCTAGCCATGAAAACTCCAGCACCACATTCATCAGATGGACACTCTCGTCGAAGGCGACTAATTTTGCCATTTTCATCCACCTGAAAAAATTAAAACTTACTCTAAGACAATTTTACAAAACACATCCTAGAGTCTTATTAAAATGACTCAAGCTGTTAACTTGAACCTTTTATCACTAATAATTTCTAGTGCATTTTAAGAATTGAAGTAATGGCTCAGTATTAAGTATTGTCTTTTTAAGGGCTTTTTTATTTTTATGTGCATTTTGGCCTGTATGTATGTCTGTGCAAGGGTACCAGATCGCAGACAGTTGTGAGCTGCCAGCACATTCTGTTCCCAGCACCCGTATCTGACAGCTTACAACTGCCTGTAATTCCAGCTCTAAGAGATCTGATATCCCATCTTCCTTACTCATGCAAACATACTTGTACACATAAATAAAATACATTAAGAAACCTCCAGCTCTAGGGGATCTGACATTCCCCATGTTCTTTACTTATATGCAAACATCCATACATAAATATAAATGTCTTAAGAATTCCTAGTTATGTCAATTGCTCAGAACTTGTTTCAAACACACCACTGGTTTTGATGACATCCTTAAGCAGCTCACCTTATAGTACTTTAGCACAGCCAACTTAACCTTCTTTCTCTTATGCTTATTCTTCTTGGGAGTGGTGTAAGACTTCTTCTTCCTCTTCTTAGCACCACCACGGAGTCTCAACACAAGATGAAGGGTAGACTCCTGTTAGTGAAGGATGAAAGACACCTCAGCAATTCTGATACCAGCCTGCCAGCAGCAACCATCCACCCTCCCTCCCCATGCTTGGGAGGCTCGGGAATTCTGTTTAAACAACCCCCCCCAGGATACCTCTATCCACAAGAAAAAAATAACTACCATCACACATTTTTAAATTTGGTAAACAGCTGCAGTACTTCTCAAATGTTAGTGGTTTCACATGGCAATCTAATGCTTTCTCTCCTATTTCTGGGAAGTTTTCCCAGACAAACCTTTTGAATGTTATAGTCAGACAAAGTACGGCCATCTTCCAGTTGCTTTCCAGCAAAGATCAGCCTCTGCTGGTCAGGAGGAATTCCTAATTGAAAAAAAAAGGGGGGGGTTTAATCAAACTAGGTGCACGCCCCACTCTTACAGATAATACTGCATCAAACTGCTAGCAGTGGTCATTGACTTACTAGACACTCTTTTTTCTTAACGTTGGACATGTCTGAACATTTAATAAATGTTAATAGTCTTCACGAATCAATAAACGGGAAAAGAAAATTAACTTATTAAAATTCACACGTGGATCTTGCAAAGTTCCCAAGCACTTGTCTGTTTTCTATCCTGAGCAAATATGCCTAGTCATAGAAGCCAGATTATTTTTCTAGCGACAAAACATTACTTGCCTTCCTTATCCTGGATCTTGGCCTTTACATTTTCAATAGTGTCCGAGGGTTCAACCTAGAAATGTTAACATATAGTTAACATACACGGCAAGAAACTAGAACACCCATATCATCAAATGTTCTTTACACAAACTAAGCAGCAGGGAGATAGTGGGCTGACAACCTATTCAGTTGTCAACCATTGGACCACCTCCCACAAATGCTGCAAGGCAACTCCATTCCCAGGGCGAGCGCCGGCCGCTGTGCCACGCGCTCGAGTCTGTCCAACGAGAAGCATTTCCTACCGCATACCCACATTCGGCCGCTAAGCACAGGGGAGGCGCAAACTTTCGGCACCGAAAACCTAACTTTGGCGCTTGTAAGCAACCTATCACCAGCTGAAAGCCAAGCTCCAGAACTCAAAAGAGTTCAAGCTTGCAGCGGGCACTGAGGGCACCGGCAGGCCTCGCTTCTCACGCCACCTGGTCTCGTACCTCGAGTGTGATGGTTTTCCCCGTAAGGGTCTTCACGAAAATCTGCATCTTGGCGGCGGTTCCACCTGCATTGGAAAAGAGACGGATTAGAGCCGACGACACCGGAGAGAGCGACGGATGAAGCCCCCTTGCCAGAGCCGCGGCACGCAGCACACACACTCACCACCGATGGCGGAGCGGAAAGGAAGAGCCGCGCAGGCCAACGGGGTTTCCCGGCCGAAGGACCCGCCCCTTAGGCGTCCACGCACGTGCCTTTGCTCTGCAACGACCGCGGCTGTCTAATGCAGTGCCAGACTAGCTCGGCGCTCCGATTCCCCACGCTTTTTTTCTCATTTTGGTCCTCGAAATGGTGTGCTCAACATTAAAGTGTTTCCAATGGCGTTCTTACACAGTCCAATGCGACTAAAAGGGGCTTTCCTTTAAAGGGGGGTCGTTAGCATGAGAAAGGAGGTATCTGGGAATTGTAGTTTTCTCCTTGCTAAAACTACTTGTCCCAAGATGCACTTCCACACATCCGGGCAATCTGGTTACAGTCTCTAAGCTCTGGAGTCAGGGTTAGAGATTCAGGTGAGGAAATGCCTAAAAGGGGAGGGTTATGGGCGGGAAGGCATTCGGGGCTGAAGGAATTGAGAGCTGCCGGCCGCGGCTCAGCGGGGCTGGCCTTCGAGAGAAGGGCGTCCTCAGCCAACTCCTGGACAGCAGGAGCCCAAACCAAGTCTTCCAAAGGGCGGGGTGCGGCCTCTTCCGCGTGGCCCCCGCCAGTCTGCGGAAGCTTCTGAGCCACACGCGCCGTCCTAGTGTGAAACGGTTAAATGTGTGGCAATTATCTTTGCACGTTTTAAAAGCCATACAGTAAGGAAACCTGCAAAATGACTGTAGTCCTCAACCACAAGTTTGGACGTGGAGATTGTCCATCCTGGGAAAAATACTTAGGAACATGTGCTGTCCCGAAGAAATAGGCAAAACAGGCCAGTTAAGGCGGACTGCACCCTCTCCTAGTCCTTCCCCAGCTCTCAAACCCTTTGTATTGCACCCTCTAAATGTCTTTTCTTCCTGTCCCTAAAGGTAGGCGTCCTCCGGTTTTGTTGTTGAGTTTTTTTTTTTTTTAGTATATAAAGTAGATGCTTAGCTTCCGAATAACCTGTGTCCGCTACTCCCTTATTTCAATCTACTAGCTCTGCTGCCTCCAAAATACACAATTTTTGGCTGGGAAATAGATTAGATAAAATGCTTGGTATGCAAAAGCCTGTGTTGTAACCCCAATACCCACTTTTTTTTTTCTTATTTTACATATCGATCCCAGTTTCTTCTCCCTCCTTCCTATGCCCCACCACCACCCTCCCATCCCATTCCCCACACACACACACACTCCACAGGGAAGCTGATGCCTTCCAGAAGGGGTCATCTAAATCTGTCAAGTCATTTGGAGTAGGGACTAGGCCCTCCCTCCTGCCTCTAGGTTAAAGGAGTATCCCTCCATGGGGGATGTGCCCCCAAAGTACTTTTGTGCACCAGGGACATCCTGGTTCCACTGTCAGAGGTCCCTTAGACTGTCCAGGCCTTCTGACTGAGACCCATGTTCAGGGGGTCTGAGTTGGTCCAATGCTGGTTTCCCAGGTATCAGTCTGGGGCCCATTAGCTCCTCCTTGTTCAGGTCAGCTGTCTCTGTGGTAGCCTGGTCTCTGCATCTGGATTCCAATTCTGCTCAGTGTTTAGCTGTGGGACAACACCCACTTTTAAAAAGACTGCTGCACATTGCCAGGATTCTGTTTGACAGGAGACTCCCTAGAGCTTATTGGCCAGCCAGAGTAGCCAAATCTTGCTAAAGTGAGAATCGGAGGCAACATGACACCCATGTAACACATAAATCTCTTTTAAAATAAGGTAGGGCCATTTGGATGGTTCTGTCAGTAAAGAGTTGACATCAGGAGTTCTGTCCTATGGTGGAAAGAAGCGACCCCAGCAAGTTATCCTCAGACTTCACAGCAATCTCCACTCCACCCCCGAACTAACTAAATGTTAATCCAAGAACACCCCACGTCCCTGATTCTCCTGTGTCCACATTGCATGTACCCACAAAAATGTGGACGTACAAAAAAAAGTTAAAAGTGTCATGTACATTATTCAATACTTCACCTTGGGGTCAAATGTCATCTGAGTTGTAGGGTACTTACCTAGCATGTCTGAGGCACTAAAGAATAAAATACTTCAAATGTGAGGGACAAGGACATAAGAAGATAGTTCTGTCAGAGGGAAAGAGTTGATTACCAAAGGATTCTAGGGAGCCACTGCTATTATGTGACCATATATGCCCCAATGATTGTGCCTTTCCTCTCCCAAAACATGATTGGACTAATGAGCAAACATTGATTTTCTACTTGAGAGAACTTTAGGCCAGTGATATGGCTCAGTGAGCTAATGCACTTTCTGCCAAGCCTGATGTTTCGAGTTCACTGGGTCCTCCATAAGGGAAGGAGAGGAATTGACCCCCATAAATTGTCCTCTGCCTCTGTGTGTGCCGTGACAAGCATGCACCCACACACATAAACATGGACACTAAATAACTTTGTGTTTTTTCCAGACAGGGTAATAACTATGGCTGTCTTGGAGATCACTTCATAGACCAAGATGGCCTCTGACTCTCTAGTGCTGGGTTTGAAGGTGTGTGTCACCTTGCCAGGCTCTAACAAACTTTTAAATTAATGTTTAATCATACATTGCTTTATCCTTGATGGGACTACTTTATGTCCTCTGGTTAAATTGACTCTTTGTTATCCAAATCATCAGTATAAAAGATAAATTTAGTCTTTTACATTTCAAAATTATTGTGGTATCTACTTTTTATTTTTATTTTATTAGTTATTTGAGACAAGATTTCACTATGTAGCCCTGGCTGGCCTGAATCTCACTATGTCTACCAGCTTAGCCTTCTGCCTCCCAAGTGCTGGGATTAAAGGCATGCACCACCATTTAGACTGCTGTCCTGATTCTTATGCATGTGGCATTTAAACATGTTTAAATGTTTATTCAAAGAAGCATTATTTATAGTAAAAGTGTTTAATGGTTAACTGTGCAATAATAAATACTATCTTCAGAGCAGAGATAAAATTGTTTTTGAGACAGTCTCACTATATAGCCTGAATGGCCTGGATTTCACTATTTAGACAAAGTTGGCCTTGAACTCACAGACAACTATTCTGCCTCCCAAATGCTAAGATTAAAGGTGTATTTCACCACATCCAAAAGGTCCTCCCCACCACCAGACAGGTTTTCTCTGTATTGCTTTGGTTGTCCTGGAACTTGCTCTGTAGACCAGGCTGACCTCAAACTTACCGAGATTCGAGTGCCTCTGCCTCTGCCTCGCAAGAGCTGATAGTAAAGGTGTGCACCACCACCAACTGGCTGTTACTTTAATTTTTTTAGCTTTTATCCTTAGATAGTTTCATATATTTAATGAATTTTAGTTCTTTTCACTACCATCCTGTCTCATCCATACTCCTCCCACTGAAAACCTTCCCATTAAGGCCCTTTCTACTTTCCTATGTATAGAACCAGTGAACCACCAAGTTTAAATAAGACTGCCTGAGTGATGGGGGGAGAAGCCATGCTGGAGGTAGGAGTGTGTGTGTGTGTGTGTGTGTGTGTGTTTATGTGTGTGTGTGTGTGTGTGTGTGTGTGTGTGTGTTGCCCTCATGTATGTGTATTGCATCATTGTCACCATGTTGGTTAGTTTTGGGAGTCAAACCCAAGTTCTATGGGAAAGTAACAAGTTTTCCTAACTGGCAAGCCCTTCCTCCAGACCCAGAAATCATGCTTTTGTTGTTGTTGTTTATCAAGCCATGTGGTAGGTGCCTATAATTCTGGCATTTTGGAGGTGGGGCAGGAAGGTCTTCAAGGTCATTGTCAGCTACATAGGGAATTTAAGACCAGCCAGGTTTGCAGGAAACCCTGTCTCTAACAACAACTCAAAACAAAACTCACTCACCTAATTATTTGTTGTCATTGTGTGATAGAGAAGTGTTACAGGGCTAGGCAGACACTGAGGAATTGAAGTATTTGACCTTGTTTGTATCAGCAAGAAGCATACACAGCAGTTCCCACATGAAAGAAACAAATCTATTGTCTCAGGTACTTACTATTTCACGCATCCTTATAATTATTAAAATGTGCTATAAAAGTAGAGTGCTTACTTAGCAATTTTGTTACGAGTAGTTTTCCCGCCAGCCTGATCCCACAGATGTGTCAGCCCCCAATAACACACAGAGACACCGTATTAGATATAAAGCTGTTGGCTTGTTACTAGCATTTCTTATTGGCTAGCTGTCTTAAATATTAAACCATATCTATTAATCTAAGTGTTTCCATGTGGTTTCATCTTACCAGACCTCTTATCTGTCCAGTCTCTACATCTTGACTCTTATTACATCTCCCAGAATTCTCCTTGTCTCCCAATTCCACCTATTTTGCTTTCCTATTGATCAACAGGGCTTTATTCACTAACTAATAAGAGAAACACATTTATAGAATGACATCTCCCATCGTAGGATGTTTACAACCCTAATTTAGTCCCCAGCATTGCAAAATATAAGTTTTTTTGAAATGCTGAGTTGAAGCCCAAAAAGGTATCATTTAACTGATATGCATAAGAGGAATCCACTTAGTGTCTCAAGGAAGGGTGTTTTTCTGTACACCCATCATTGTGTGTGCATCACTGGGCAGGGAGGCATTTGTGGAGGTCAGGGGACAGCTTAGTGGAGCTGGTTCTCCACCTTGATCTGGATTCTGGGTATCAACTCAGGTCTTCAGGCTCTCATAACAAGTACTCTGCCTGATGAGCCATCTCACTGGACCTAAGGGAAGAGTCTGACATATTCCAGAGTATAACATATCTCAGTAGAATAGCATGAGCATTTTAATTCATTGACTGAAATATTTATCTCAGTGACAGATCCCTAAGAATTTTTTTCAGAAACATACATACTTTTAAATTGACCTTTGATTTGAGTTGTAGGTTTATAGATTAACTGATGGTCATGTTTTATTTCAGGCTCACTAAAAATGTTTGGCTTTGTTGCAAAAGAAGATCAATGCTTAATTTTTCTCCAGTGAACAAGCTTACAGATTAAGATTTATGTCATTCCAAGAAGTAAACAGACATGCAGTCCTCCCTCCCATCATTAGTAAAAGTGACAAGGAGTTTTTGGAAAGCATGCAAAGATACATAATTACAGAAACCAAAAGAGTGGGCTGCAACGAGGAAGGACCGGCTGATGAGTATTACACCATATACCGAAATGTTTTCGACAAGGTACCATAATAAGATGAGAAATTTCCAAGAGATTATACATAACCTAGCTTAACCACTGCCTTGGAAATCCTACTGTCTGGTTGGCCACATTCTGTATACTTCTTTGGAGAATTTCATCAGTTTGTTAAACCAGGATGAATAGGGAAAGCACAGGGCTGCATTTACATTCCCTGACTGATACTTAGAATCAGTTTAGTTTAGCAAACTGTTTGGTTTTTTTTTTTTTTTTTTTTTTTTTTTTTTTTTTTGTCAATGACTTGGCTGTGCCTTCTGGTAATCATTTTTACCCTTTCCTGTTAAGTTGTCATCTAATTTGCCAGAGTTTGCATTGTGAACAAGAACTAGTAATCTATGTTCTAGGTTTATTTCTGAAACCACTAAGATCTTAGTTTATATATGATATGGTAAGTTAAATGAAACTTCTTAAGCCAGGTGCTATGCCAGTGATCCTAACTGGTAGGAATGCTGGGGCTGGAAAATCCCTTTTAGCCAGGACTTGGAGGCCACCAGCAAGATAATGAAATGATTCAGCTCAAATCAATGAAGGACTCAACCAGGAGATTCAGCTAAACCATTTGAGCCCTGTCAGATATGGTGCATAAAAGTTTAACTGGTGTTAAAACTGGGAATAATGGGGCTAGATTACAAAATGTTACAGCTTTATATAGCATGTCAGATTTGGTTCTTTGCAATTTTAGAAATAATTGTCTCCTTTTGAACAACTGAAGTTCATTGTTTCTAAATACTTTCCCTAGCATTTTCTTTACCATCTCCTCACAGATGGTAAAGTGAAACTGTCATCCTTTCCTCTTTGCTTGGAGGAACAATGTACCTCAAGACTTGTATACCACTGTCCCAGAGTAAAACACACACACATGCAGAGTAGGAATCCAGTCTTACAGGAGCTCACTGTGTCAACTAGGCTAGCCTCAAGCTCACAGAGATGTACCTACCTCTGCTCCCACAGAGATGTGCCTACCTCTGCTCACTCTTTGGTTATTTTTTAAACATTCTGATGAGTTTTATTTCTTATGTAAATAAAAATGTAGCTCCTCCTGAAGATCCTAAGTGGTTAATGGTTGCTGGAGATAGAAAGAGACATTGTCTATCAGATTGTAGATGAAGTTGATTGCTTCATGCTCCTAAAAATAATCTTCGAGTATGCTCATATAAGCAATCCTAATCAAACTACATGAATCACACACACACAAAAATAATAAGGTAAAAGTAGAAAGTATTTAGGAAAAGGAAGGGATTAAAGTTAAAACATGTGAAAATGTCATTATGAAACTTATTGTTATCTATAGTGAATATATGCTAAAGAAGACTTTTAAAAGCCTACTTCCTCACTCTGAAGGAAAAGTAAGTACATAGACAGGGAATGTAGGTTGGGCAGCAGGCACAAGGCTCTAGGTTCTATCCTCATGGTTTAACTCTGACATGGCGCTACACACCTGTAATCCCAAACCTAGGGAGGTGGAGGCAACAATATTACAAGTTCAATGTCTTCTTTAGCTACATAGTACATTGAAGGCCGCCTTGGAACATATGAAACCGAAGGAAAAGAAAAGGAAAAAAAGAGGAAGTACAAAGTAAAGATATCTACCCAGCAACAGGAAAGTAGCTTCTGTGGTGTTACAATCTCAGAATTTTCTTTCCTTTTTTCTTCCTTCCTTTCTTTCTCTTTATTAATTTTTTTTAATTTTCCAAAACAGTTTCTGTGTAGATTTGGAGGCTGTCCTAGAACTCACTCAGTAGTCCAGGCTGGCCTCAAACTCACGAGAGATCCACTTGTCTCTGCCTCCTGAGTGCTGGAATTAAAGGCATGTACCACTCTCAGAATTTTCAAGGAGCTCTAAGTATATTGGTGGTAAAGAGCCCCAAACTTTAAAATGTTTTGTGTATAAGGTGAAATTGCCAGCTCTATTCTACCTGCACTCACATGCACACTCCCATACACACACATATTTAAGAGCAGCACAGAAATAATGTATAAATGAAGTCAGGAGAGTAGATTTTAATGGACTAAGAGATATATAATTAAAAGCTCTACAGTTGAAAAATAGAGACCTAGTACTGTATTAGCCAATGTCTCATGTATGAATTAATACCAAATATAAAAGAACGTTCTCATAGTTAGAATCACAATACCTACATAGTGACCCACAGAGAGTATGTATTTGATAACTATTGTTTTTAGTGTCTAGTCATGTTGCATTTTCTGTAAGATGTTTATACTTCCGATTAATAGTCACAACTTACCTAAAACCAACCTGCTTAAAAGGTTTTTGATCATCATATCTTCTGTTAAAAAAGATTCAGTACCACAGATGGAAAAATCATATTTCAGGTAATAGACTATGTCAATGCATACAAGTCCATTCTTACTTCAATCAAAAAAGAATATGATGCCTTTATTGAGACAATAAAGAAAGGCCGAAAAACTGCTTTTTATCTTCATGGAAAACTTAAAGTTTTAGCAGCAGAGCCCACAGCGTTGGTTTATCACCAGAGAAGAGCCATCCAACTTGAAGCAAAGTGAGTATGCCAGTAACAAGCCAGAAAGCTGCCATGGTAACTGGTTGGTCTTTAGTTTTACTGTTTTGTTTATTTTAATATTTTGAGAAAGGGTGTCACTATTTAGACTCAGCTAGTGGTGAGTCACCAGGCTGGCCTTGCTCAAGACCTTCAGCCTTCAAATGCTAATATTATAGAATTATACCATGCCTACCTTTAATTAAATTTTTATTTTAAAGCTATAGTTTTATATTGCCTTCTACCAAATGTACTTTAATATATTTTGAGCAAAACCATTCATTTTGCTTGAGTATTTTATGATCCCTCTTAGTATAGTGAAAGTACATTGTGGTAGCATAAAAGGAAGGAAGCCCTTTCATGCATGGATGATTTGACAGAACAGGTTCATGATTCCCACCAGAATACAGCACTTCATCCAGTGATCCCCAACAATAAGTGATCCACCAACTAATAAAATGCTCCTTAAAATACAATGTTTTTGAAATAAGGTTTCACTATGTAGCTTCTGCTGTAGCTCATATTTACAGCAATCCCCCTGTCTCAGCTTCCCAAATGCTAGTTACTCATTTTTGTATGGTTAGTACTACTACTCTTGGACTTCTGGCCTCCAGAATGATGAGAAGATAATGTTACTTTAAGTCACAAAATTTGTAACAATTGTTACAATAGACCCAGCAAAAAATAAGTTTCTTTTTCTTTCTTTCTCTTTTGTTTGTTTGTTTAAAGCTTTTCTTTAAGCCCAGTGAGGTGGTTCACACCTGTGATCTAGCACTGAGGAGGAGCAGGATCACAAATTCAAAGTCAAATTTAGCTATGTAATGAGACCCTTTCAAAAGAAAAGAAACAGAAAGCTAAAGATGCTTTTTCATTTGCAGCAGTTATTTTTACTAAAGGAAGTAGATGTTGTTTTCTTGCCAGATTATTGTTAATGTTTATTGATTTGCAATGGGGTTAGTAATAATAGTGCTTGCTTTCATTAGCACTCTGAGCAGAAATTGCTCCCTGTTCGTGTGTCAGCTTTCTTGGGGCATGTTTTTCTAAGCATCTAGCTCCCTAACAGTTCAGATTGCAATTAGCCAAATAAAGCAACAATCTAGCTTGTTTTATTTTAAATAATATGATTCAAGAATTAAACTGGTTGTGACAAGTATACAAAAGCATGTCTGTCCCCCCCTCCACCCCCCAGAATGAAGATTATTGAAAGTAATTCCACAGACATTCAATTGCAAATAGATCAGATGAAACAGCTGAGAGCAGAGTATGACAAAAAAGAAGTAAAGCACTGTGCTCCCACCAGGCAGCTCTGGAGACCCATCCCAGGTACAGTGTCTCCTTTAAAATCCCGCTTTAGAGAAATCCCCAGTGGGCCCAGTTGGCTGCCTCTTATGCAAACATAAATTGTTTTGAAAAAAATTAGTACAATGTGTTAATATGTGAATCCCTTCAGTTGTGTGTTGTACAAGCAACTCTAGCCAGGGTTCTAGCAGATACTCAGAAAAGAGCAAACTTGAAGCAAGTCTGAAAGGTGTTCAGATTGCAACCTGGCAAGCTCATGTAATGCATGCACATCAATGTCAGCATCACCTGAGAATTATTAAGAGCAGACATCCTTGGGGTTGGTGAGGTTTGTCAAGTGCCCAGTGTGCAAATTCAGTGTTCAGACCCCTCTCCCCAGATACAAGCTCTGTCCCCTCTAATCCAATGGCTGGGGTGGACAGAAACAGGCACAAACAAGTGGATCCCTGGAGCTCATTGGCATGAGGAAGACACCTGATATAAACAATGCATTTACTCTTGCTGCAGTTGTATACACACACACACACACACACATACACACACACACACACACACACACACCTACCTACCTTTAAATCTCATCTCAGACTTACTACATCAGAAACTTGGTGAAGGAGTTCACTGAGTGATGTCTGAAGTTCTGATTATGCTGATTCATTATAAAGTTTGAGAGCCACTGATATATTAAACTGTGTACTGTGTTAACTTTGCTGAATGTGATTCTGTCATTCATTGGATTCATGTTTTCATGACTTTAATGTAACACTCTTGCTACATTTGAGAAACCGAGTATCTACTGGTTTCTTTCAGGACTCAGGGAGATTAATTGGATGAATAGACTGTGACTTACAAGACTGAGGGTAATAATTGGAGGTCAGTAACTCTAGAACATACAGGGTTTATCCTGAAGCAGAACCAGTAGGTGGAAACTTTAGGAAGACAGATTTGACCTAAATTGAAGAAGCTATGTGTTTGTTTGTTTGGTTTTGGTTTTTTGAGACAGGGTTTCTCTGTGTAACCTTGGAACCTGTCCAGGAACTCACTGTGTAGACCAGGCTGGCCTCTAACTCACAGAGATCTGCCTGCCTCTGACTCCCAAGTACTGGGATTAAAGTTGTGCTCCACCACCACCAGGCTATTTATTTATTTTAAAGATGGGCTCTCTCTATGTAGCCTGGCTGCCCTGTAACTCACTCTGTAAACCAGGCCAGCCTTGAACTCACAGAGATCTGCGTGCTTCTCCCCACCCTCTCCCCACCCCCAAACCATTATGCCTGGCTCTGGATGTGGGTCCTCATGTCAGTAATTGGCCTGATGAGAGAGAGCACGCATGCGTGTGTGTGTGTGTGTGTGTGTGTGTGTGTGTGTGTGTGTGTGTGTGTATGCACAGAGAGACAGAGACAGAGAGAGAGACAGAGACAAAGAGAGACAGAGACAGAGAAGTGTAATGAACAGAAGGGACATTTCAAGAGTAAGAGACATCTTGAGATGTGGTTCGTGGGGACTGGAGAGATGGCTCAGAGGTTAAGAGCATTGGCTGTTCTTTCAGAGGTCCTGAGTTCAATTCCCAGCAACCATATGGTGGCTCACAACCATCTGTAAGGAGATGTTGTACACACTTCTGCCTTCAGGCTTACAAGCAGGCAGAATGCTGTAAAAAAATAAACCTTTTAAAAAATACATTTATTTTAAATAATATGATTCAAGAATTAAATCAGTTTTATGTTGGAAAACATAGGGCTAGTTCTTGGAGAGGAATGGAAGATGTGGTTTGAGAGAATCCTCTTGGTCTAATCATAGCTCAGTCATCAGATGCTCAGTGTGTATGTTCTTGGAACAATCAGTCTTCACTGAACTGTCCTTGATGCTGTATAAAATTTGCCTAATTTGCATAAGGCCAAAAGTCTAAGCACCACAGTAAACAAATAGATGTTAAAAAAAAAAAGAAAAACTATTAGCATTACTATTTTGTGATAATTGTATTTATGTTTAGGAAGCCACAAGTTCCTGTTACAGTTTCTGAATTATTTTATAATGCAGTAAACCATCCTACTCAGCCTGTTTGCTTTTCCTATAGGGATGACTCTTCAAGAATCTGTCAATCTGGATGCTCTCAATAAATATAAGCAGCATCTTGAAGATAAATATATAAAATGTAAGCAAGATATGTCAACAAAGTATGTACCAGCCGAAAAGAAGGCTGACCTGGATGAGGAGATGACTGTGTTACTAAAACGTCGAGATATAGCTGAAAGCCTGAACAGAGACCTGCAATTTCGGTATGAACATCAGTTAGCTCATATCTACTCTCATACTCTGTGAGTGATCCTAGCTCAAGGTGTTGTTGATGTTCTTCTTTTACAGCCATCAAAGACTGCAGGTTATTTCACACACACTTACTACATGGATGAAGCATAACATGAAAATCCCATTCCAAGATGTCATGGAGAAAATTAAGAAAACCAAAGCAATCTATGGTAGTCCGTCTGTCTGCTTAATTAGCATGAACAGTGGAAGGGCATTTCCCCCAGAGCTAAAGAGATTTCTAGGCTGTTTTAAACATATACTTAGCTCCTCTAGCTCTCTCTTACCCCTGAGTTTCTTCCTTCAGCTCGTGACAGATTGGTGAAAGAGTAGACCTAGTGAGGTAAAGACAGAAAACATGGGGCTGGGGCTGGAGATGGCAGATGGCTCAGTGGGTAAGAACACTGACTGCTTTCCCATAGGACAATTTTCAGCATCCATGTGGCAGCTCACAACTGTGACTCCAGTTCCAGGGGAGCAAACATTCATGTTTTGCAAAAAAATTTTTTTAAAGATTTAAAGAGAGAGAGAGGGAAAAGTAACAAGCTGAGGGTATCAGGAAAGGAGGGAAGTGACCCCCTTTAGGAAAGGGTTGGTGTTGTTTGAAACCAAAGTGCTAAGTTGTTTGCTCTGAACATGTTCACTATTTCTTACTGCTAAACAGTATCATTACAAACTGTCTTTTCAATATTTAGGCGATGAAAGCATTGTTGATGAGCTATTTGAAGATGACCCAAGCAAGACAAAAGAAGCCATAATTATACTTTACTACATTGAAAGGCAAATGTCATTTGTGTTTTGGGTTTGTTTGTTTGGGTGGGTTTTTGTTGTTACCTGCCTGTCTTCCTCCCTCCCTGCCTCCCTTTCTTGGTTTTTTTTCAAGACAGGGTTTCTCTGTGTAACAGCCCTAGCTTTCCTGGAACTTGCTCTTGTAGATCAGGCTGGCCTCAAACTCACAGAGATCGGCCTGTCTCTGCCTTCTGAGTGCTGGGATTAAAGGTGTGTGCCACCACTACCTGGCCTGTTGCTTTTATTTTTGTTTGTTTTGAGATAACATCTCACAACCCAAAAAGCCTCACTGTGTAGTGCAGGATGACTTTGAACTACTGATCCTCCTGCTCATTTCCTGACTGCTGGCTTGCAGGTTTGTCTTTTAATTTTAGATTACTGTAGGTAGCTAGTACAATCTCTTTTTTGTAATTATTTTTATTCTGTGATATATAATTTACTTATTTTGTGGGGGTATGTAAGGAGCATAGCAGTGAGAGGACAACTTGTAAGAGTGTTTGGTCTTTCTACCATATGGGTCCTGGGAATGGAACTCAGCTTGACAGGCATAGTGGAAAGCACCTTAGGTTGTTGAGTGATTATATATGGCCCTTGCACTAGTAGGATATTTAGAAATGTCTTGCATAATTCCAGGGTACAGACCATCATGTAGTCAAGGGGCTAGGGACCTGAAGCAGCTGGAGTATTATATCCACAGCCAACAGCAGAGAGCAATGAAGTAATGCATACTCTATATGTATTACTTGAGATAGATGTAAATATTCTAAGGTTAATTTACAAGCCATCAGGGTAATGTAATTGAAATATGTAATACCCATGATCTTAAATATCAAGTAGTTTTTACTTGATGATTTGTTTGTTTTTATGGTACAAAGAAGTTGGTAAAGACAATTCAAAGGTTGGAGCACTAAAGACTCTGTTATTGGCCAGAGGTCAATGTTAAGTGTCATTCTTTACTTGCTTCTCCATCTTATTTACTTATTTATTATCACTAATATGGGTATACACATGCACCAACTACTGCACTCATGTGGTGGTCCCAGGACAACTTTGTGGAGTCAGCTCATTCCATCCACCTTTACATGGGTTCTGGAGGTCAAGCTCAAGTCACCAAGCTTCACAAAACACTGCCTTGTCAGCATGGGGATGAGAAGCACCCAGCTCTGCTATGGGTGCTGGGTATCTGAAGTGGGTCCTCATACTTAAGTGGCAGAGACTTTATAGCCAGCCGACTCCAGTCCAGTTACTATGGAATTTTCATAGTACAACTCCAGGTTTTCTGTTTTTTATTTTTTAGATTTATTTATTATGTATACAGTGGTCTGCATACATGTGTGCCTGCACACCAGAAAAGGGCACCATGTGGTTGCTGGAAATTGAACTCAGGACCTCTGGAAGAGCAGCCATTGCTCTTAACCTCCGAGCCATCCCTCCAGCCCCTACTCCAGGTTTTCATAGGAGAGGAAAACCTTTGTTAAAATTCAATCTTTTTTGTTTGTTTTGGTTTTGATTTATTTTTTGAGACAGGGTTTCTCCTAGAACTCACATTGTAGATCAGGCTGGCCTGGAGCTCACAGAGATCCACCTGCTTCTGCCTCCCAGGTGCTAAGATTAAAGTCATGGTCACCAAATCCCCAGGATTCAAATTCTAATACATTTACATGTTACTTTGGTGATTTCCTACTTTGTAAAGCATTCCTTTGTGACATTGTATGACTCCTCTTTTCCTAATGAGTTGTTTGGGACCTTTGCTGTGTGGAGGAGGAAGAATAAACTATTCATAAACCTCTGCTTGTGGTTTGGTACCGACAGACAGTACTGGCTTCTGAACTCCTCCTCTTGGTTGTCCTGCTGGTCTGCCTCTGTGTTTGCTTATTTCCCTGAGGCTGAGTTTCTAAGCAGGTAGCTCTTTCCTGGTGATCTGTGAGGAATGGAAGCCCAACTCCGTGTAAATTCACTGTGTTCTTCCTTCCTGTTTTCTATGTGGGGGCTGTAGGGACAAAGTGCAGGATGAGGTTCATAGTTACTCAGAAGGTAAAAATTTAACTGTGAGACAAACAGGTCAAAACAAACCCTAGAACTCTAGAGAAGAATGAACATCATACTGAATGGATAGATATAGTTATAACTTATTGGATTACTTTTGTTTTCCACTATACTTAATTTCTATATTTGGTTGTTGTGTATCATTGTAATGTGTTTTAAAATGCAATGGCTGTAGGTTCAATGAATTAATCTCCCTTGGTGAATACGAGAAGGCAGCTTGTTTTGCAGCAAACAGTCCAAGAAGAATTCTTCAAAATATTGGTACAATGAATAAATTTAAGGGTAAGCAAAACTTTCCGAAATATACATGCAAATTATGCTTTACTTTTTCTTAATAGAGTGAAAATATTTCTGAGTGGCTAGTCCTTCATTACCCCTTTTTATTATTTACTGTTTCCTTAGCTGCAGTATTAACAGTTAATTCAATTTTCTAAATTAAATTATGAAATATTTCATATGTAGAAAAACATAAAGAAACATAGTATTAATGTATTCACCATCAGGCTGGAGAAATAGCTTCATGGCTAAGAGCACTGACTGCGCTTCCTTAAGACCCAGATTCAATTCCCAGAACCCACATGGCAGCTAAGAACTATCTGTAACTTCAAGATCTGATACTCTCACACAGATATATAGGCAAAACACCAATGTACATGAAATAAGAATAAATAAATTATTAAAAAATAAATTCACCAGCTGGATGGTGGTGGCACATACCTTTAATCGCAGCACCTGGGAGGCAGAGGCAGGTGGGTGTCTGTGAGTTCAAGGCCAGTCTGGTCTACAGAGTGAGTGCCAGGACAGGCTCCAAAGCTACACAGAGAAAAAAACTACACACACACACATATATATTCACCATCAAGATTTTATAATAGTAATTTTTGACAGATTTTCTCCATATTCTTTTAAAAAGGTTTTTTGTGTGGTAAATTGACATACATAAAATAAATCACATATTTTGGAGGGTATGATGCTAATTGTGAAGCAAGCCTTTATATGTGCTAAGCAAGTATTCTACCACTGAGAGACATCCCAGACCAAATTCTACATATACAGTACATAATTTGCTAAGTCTGACATATGTACTTGCCCATAGCATTATCATATGACGTATCTATGACATCACCACAAAGTTTCCTCATGCCCATTGACAGTCCTCCTCTTCCCATTACTTCCTATTTCTCACACGGACTACTGTCTGCAGTCCCAGACTCCAAGCAACCACCAATTTGCTTTCAGTGACCAAAGATAGGTTTCTTTTATAAATTTAACATTCAGTAGGCATTATTGTTGTTGTTTTTGTTGTTATTATTTGAAGTGCAGGGTTTTACTATCAGGGAATATGGAACTGTGTCAAGGAGACATCTGAGGAAGGTGGCCATAAGTGAAGAACAAGTAGAATATTTCAGAAGCAACTCCCCCACCATGGCCCCTTCCAGCTGACCTGCCTCCAGGACCTGTCTCAGGCAGGCCCTGGACATGGGCTGCAAGTTAATTAGCCCATTCTTTTCTTCCTTCCTTCCTTCCTTCCCTCCCTCCCTCCCTCCCTCCCTCCCTCCCTCCCTCCCTCCCCCCTTCCTTCCTTCCTTCCTTCCTTCCTTCCTTCCTTCCTTCCTTCCTTCCTTCCTTCCTTCCTTTAATACAGGGTTTCTCTGTGGCTTTGGAGCCTGTCCTGGAACCTGCTCTATAGACCAGGCTGGCCTCTGATTCACAGAGATCCCCCTGCCTCTGTCTCTGCCTCTTGAGTTTTGTGATTAAAAGTGTTTACTACCATCACTGGCTAGTCAGCTCACTCTTATTTGTTTATGCTAACCAACTCAAAATGAGGGGGAGGGAAATCCATCCCAGGCCACTAAAACCCTTAAAACATGGAGCCCTTCATAGGATTTTGGTTTCTAAATCCCAAATTTGGTTTCTAAACAATTGAGGAAAACACAAATAAATGAAAAGATACCTTCTGCTTGTGGAATGAAAGGTTAAATATTGCAGAAACACCAAAACTAAAAGCAATATTGAGATTTAGTATGTATATCTATAACCTAATAGCTTTTTCACAAAATTTAAAAGGAATCCTAAATTGGGCAGTGGTGGCATGTGCCTTTAATCCCAGCAATCAGAGGCAGAAACAGGCGGATCTCTGTGATTTCAAGGCCAGCCTGGTCTACAAAACCCCTTGAAAAACCAGATACACAAGCCACCAAAATACAACAGAAAAGCCACAGATAAGCCCAAACATAATGATGGTCATTTAATTTTCACAGAGAAAATACAGGTAATGGTTCTTTGCTACCAAGCCTGAGGACCTGAGTTTATTTCTCCACTGCCAGTTTCAGAAGCCTGAAATCTGCTGTGGTCATGACTATAGCCGATAAACTTTTGTGGCCAGCAGAGATTTTTTTTTTTCTTTTTCTGGAATAAAGCTTGCTTCTGGTTTAATAGACTTTGGTGGTCTGTCCCCTGTCAATGTATGACCCCAGACCCAACAGTAGTAGTATCTGGTCTCAGTGTGTTCTGAGTGTGGTTCATTGTTGACTGCTCCGTAGTTTGCTCTTTTAAGGTCGTCCTTACTAAACACTTGTATCTTATTAATTCAGGAAGTATTGCTTCAGTTGGCTTCTTTAATTTTTTTTTGAGAATTTCATACATGAATACAGTATATCATTTCTACTCCACATTCTACCTTCTCTTACTCCTCTGATTTTCCCAACTTCCTCTCAAATTCACAAGCTCTGTAGACCCAACTGGCCTGGAATTCACAGAAATTTGCCTGCCTCTGCCTCCCAAGTACTACTCCCAAGGCCAGTGTTACTACTGTCCTGTGACCTCTTCTTTAATCATTATTAAACACACACACACACACACACACACACACACACACACACACACACACACACACACACACCCTACTGAGTCCATTTAGTGTGTTGCTCATATACTTGGAATTGGATACTTGTAAAGGAGCTAGCTCATCCCAGGTTCAAACTGATTCTTCTTCTCAGCAGCCACTGATCCTCTGTAGCTCTTCATCTAGGGGTGGGATCTTGTGAAATTAACCTCCATCCATGTTGGTATGTAAGCTGCTATTGTCATTATACAGGTCTTTGTTGGTTTGTTTGTTTTCGAGACAGGGCTTCTCTATGTATCCCTGGCTAGTCTGGAACTCACTTTGTATACTAACTAGGCTGATCTCGAACTCACAGAGACCCACCTTTCTCTGCCTTCCAAATACTGGGATTAAAGACATGCACTGCCATCACCTGGCTTATACAAGTCTTTTTTAGGCATCCATATTGTTAAGATTTCATGGGTGCAGTTTCTTTGTAATGTCAAGAAGACAGTATCAGCAGAAGTCCTGGCCCTCTGGCTCTTATGAGCTTTCTGCATCCTCTTCTGTGATCTTCCTGAGCCTTTTGAGTTATGTTGTAGATGTGTCATTTTTCTCTATATTTTGACCAGTTGAAGACCTCTGTAATAATCTCTATCTGCTGCAAAATGAAGCTTCTTTAATGAGGTGTGAGAACTACATGCATCTGTATGGATAAATATTTAGAATACATTTAAAATTCTATTTTATGTTTTATGAAAATAGCTCCATTAGGTTCTCTTCTAATGTCTGTGACCTCTCCAGTTACAGATAGTTGTCTAGATTACAGGCATGCATTGCCTTCTATTACTTGGGAAATATCTGAGTTTCTGGTGGCTGTCAGCAAGTTTGGCATCCTTTGGCTTGCAGCCAAATTACTGCAGTCTCCACCTCCATCCTCACCCAGCCTACATGGTGATGGGACATAGTGGTACATAGTAATGGCACAGTGATATATAGGGTACAAAGTGGTAAATAATGATACATAGTGTTACATAGTGATGATATATAGTGGCACATAATAATACATAGTGATTCACAGTGATATATAATGATGATACACAGTGATATATAGTGGTACATAGCCATACATAGTAATACATAGCAATACATAGTGATACTATTATAAAATGTAAAATGTATTCTGTATCCATTGTTAAAGGATTAAAATTGTAAAGAAATTAAAGAAGTAATATGAAACAAGAAAAAGGAAATTAATTCTTAATGTATTAAATCAAATTTCTCATTCTTTTTTTCTTTTTGTAGCTATTGGGAAAATTAGAGGAAAGCCTCTTCCATTACTCTTGTTTTTTGAGGCTATATTCAGCAGGAGTCAGGCTTTCAAACGTCCTATTAATGCTGATCTAACCCTGGAGGGAATCAAATGTGGACTATATGAAAAACGCCTTGATTTAGTTACCCACTGGGTCACCCAGGAAAAGTAAGCAGTTTTAAGTTGCTAACTTAATTTTGACATATGATTAATACAGTTGTTTTTCTCTGACTTAGAATAGTTTGTTGTTTGAGCTCTAGTTTCCCAGTGTAGCCTAGACTGACCTCCAGGTCTAATCCCTATGCTTCAGTCTCCTATTTGCTGGGATTATAGGCTTTTGACCTATATCCAACTAATGGTTTGATATAAATACTGTGTTTTAGGATTTATTTCAGTTCTCTGTTGAAATTAATTAGAAAGTGTCTATGAAGGCTAGTCACAAAGAGCTCAGACTACAAGTCAATTTAATGAAGATCACAAGATAAAACGTGGCAACTTAACAGTAGATGGAAGTTGAATGACATAGATACAGGATTGGTTAGTAGCACACCTCTTCGGAGTGAAAAAGGCAAGGAACCTGATTCTAGACAGGCTGTGGACACATACATGTATTATAACCTAGGAGACAGTATATATTATATTAGGAAGCACATCTGAGGTGGTTACACTGAGAAATTTAGAAGAACACTTAAGCCAACAGGTGGCTGCTTCTTGAAGTCAGATTGCCTATAAACTGACATATTTTTTGCTGGTATGTGTAGGCTTGCCTACTATATAGAACTAGAGCCTGAGATAGGGTGTGGGTTTCCTAGTAAAGCTGAGTGCAGCCAAACAGGGAAGGACATAGCAAAGTCTTAGCTGCACATCACAGACAAAGCATGCTTGGAGCTGCTCTACCTTGAGGGCTGGGCCCACCCTTTCATATTTATCAACCTGATTGTTTTATAAACAATCTGATTCTCCACCCCAATAAACACAGAGTTCTTATTTATAGAATGTTCAATTATGAGACATTTTGCAGAACTATCAGGATTTCATTTTAATGTTGTCAGCATTTTGTTAGAAGGATATAAACACCACAAGTATTATATGAACCCTGCTATTTTGTAGCCATCAATTAAAAAAATATAAAGCACAATTTCCAAATAAGTATTAACTAGAAGTGATTTTTCTGATCATGCCCAAATGTTCTTTTGGCTTATGCTGAGAATCTCTGTCTTTTTAATGCAGTAGTACAGATTGTTGATTCACTGCAGCTGTATATAAATAAAATAGGCACATTTAAATATTATAGCAAATGATTCCTTCTGTTGAACTGAAAAGTTTTTTGATAAGAACTGCTTCCTTGTTTTCTTCTAATGGGTAGTACATCCTGATCCCCACACACTTTCCTTATTATCCATAACATTAAAAGTAACACTTAGAGCAGGATCTTGGGGTGGAGGGAGCACATGAGGACTTCAGGAAAACAGGATATGATGGAGAAATGGAGTTTTCCTTTTAGTGAAAATGCTTGCAAATCTAATTATGAGCCAAAATTGTTCCCATTATCTAACATCTAAGAAATTTGTATAACCTGCAGAATCTAGACACACTTCAAGGTAACTTATGAGAACAAAGTTGCATGCAGACTTTGCTTACCTGGCAATTTTAATTCTGTCAATCATTTAATTCTGTCTGTCAGTTTAAGTTTTGCTTATAGACGTTAACAATTTTATCTCAATTTTACCAAAATACTTCCCCAAAGGAGTAAGTACTGATTGTTTTTAGTTTTGCCAATCTCAAATGTGTTTGATTTCTATATCATCATCAATTGCTCATTGACTTACAATTCTTATATGCTATTTATAATCCATTTTTAAAGTCCTGAATACTCAGATACTCAGTCTCAGCCACTCATCAAGAATTCCCTGACATGTGCCTTGATGATCTGCTTGCTTCAGGCTGACATTTTCTGAGAAGGCTGGGGATATTATTTTTGTTTATGGAGAGCAGAACACATACTACAAGCCCAGGTGCTTGGCTTTAGCTCAGATGATCTACAATGAATGTGGTCTACACAAGAAAGTTCTTCTTACCCTGTGTAAACAGGGTCAGATTCATGAGGCTGTGGATCATATACAACAGTTCAAGGACTTTACCTCTGGTGAGTAAAAAAGCCTACACGGTTTAACCCTGATGTCTTTCATAGAAGCTGGCACTGTTTGAAACGTAGCTTATAAATTAGTTTGATGCACACCGATAGGAGATTTCTTTTTTAAATTTACATGAAAATAAGATAGAGTTAATTGAATTTCATATTATGCCTTATGTGTTTCTCAAAGGAAACATTTACTATGTGGCTATTACTAGAAATAAGTAGTTTTTGTTTTGTTTGTTTGTTTGTTTTTGGTTTTCAAAGACAGTATTTCTTTGTGTTAACAGTCCTGGCTGTCCTGGAACTTGTTCTGTAGACCAGGCTGGCCTCAAACTCACAGAGATTCTCCTGCCTCTGCCTCCTGAGTATTAAAGGTGCATGCCACCACTGCCCAACTAGAAATATGTAGTATTAAAGACAAATTTACTTCATATGATGGACCATACTAGAGGATATTTAAAATAACTGGATTTTTAAATTTAAGTGTGTGTGTGTATGTATTATAAATCAAGTATTAATGAAATAATAAATACTCATTTCAGAATTTTGATACCTAGCTTGTAACAGAATATGATCTGAAAAAACTGTAAATAGTTCAGTGATGGATCTCTTACTGTGAGTCTCAGCCAGAGTGAGTTTAAGGTACCTACAATCCTGACAGCTCTCAGGCATACTCAGGCTTAAGCCAGTCTCAATTTTTAGGCTATATGTTTGACTCCATTTTAAGAAGTTACAGAAACATGTAAATATAAAAAAGAAATATGTTACAAAGCAGACAGAAATAGCAATTTAAGCCATATTTCCCAGGAAAAAAGGATATTTATGGCTGTTGAATCTGATCATTTTTCAAGTAGTGAACTTACTTTTACGTACAATGTATGTATTATTCTAAAGCTCTTAATGTTTCCATTAACTGATGACAGCACACCAGATATTACTGAGAATAGGATCTAGCTGTTCATATGCATTATTTCACTTAATCCTTATGAAGTACATTTGTTTAAATATCTGCTTTATAGGTAGAAACAGTTTATGTTTTCCCAGAGAGGCTAATGCATACTGTGACATTTGCCAGTAATTACACAGTAATGGAGCAGTTTGGTATAGTGGATGGGAACCATCCCATTAAAATTTGTTGAGTGAATTTTGTATCATATTATTAATTAAGGATACAGATTCAATATCTGTACTATTTTCCCATGTGAAAGAATTATATTAGCATTTAGATATGAAATATGGGTATAATATGCTTGGAATTTTTAGTGAACAAAATGTGAGATTGCGGGCCTAGGGAGATAGATGACCTAATCCACAGAAAAGTTTGCACTGCAGACAAAACAACTCGAATCTGATCCTATCCCATAATCTATGTTAAGAAGCTGGGTGTGGGCCCAGCAGGTGGTACACACCTTTAAACCCAGTACTGAGAGGTAGAGACATGCAGATCTGTGAGTTCAAGGCTAGCCTGGCCTTCATAGTGAGTTCCAGACTAGCAAGAGGCCCAGTCTTAAACAAAAGAACAACAAAAAAGTATTAAAATAAAGAAAGAATAAACTGGGTGTGGGAGCTGTTACTTTGTCCCCCTAATAATGTATTATATTCTGAAATAATTTTGTTGTAATAATTTATGATGTAATTCTCCTTCCTATTTAGAACCTTGGTATTTATTTCATTGTTATAAGATAAAAAAAAAATTACAGTAACTTGAGACAAATGAAGCTTAAAAGACAGAAACAGTATTTGAAATACACTATGCCTATTATAGTGGTTTGAAAGAAAATGGCCTTCCAAAGGGAGTGGCACAATTAGGAAATGTGGCCTTGTTGGAGGAAGTGTGTCACTGAGGGGACAGATTTTGAGGTCTGCTTTGCTCAAGCTTCCCTCAGTGTAAGTCGACTTCCTTTTGCCTCTGAGTCAAGATGTGTGACTCACAGCTCCAGCACCATATCTGCCTGCTCACCACCATACTCCCCACCATGATGATAATGGACTGAAACTCTGAAACTGTAAGCAAGCCCCCTAATTAAATGTTTTCGTTTATGAGTTGCTGTGGTCATGGTGTCTCTTCACAGCAATAAAAAACCTAAGTTACCTACTTTACATATATCTATGCACTGTGCATGTGTGCATAGAGGTCAGAGGAGGACATTAGATCATCTGGAACTGGAGTTACAGGTGTTGCGAGCCACCATGTAGGTGCTAGGAACAAATGTGGAGCCTCTGGTAGAGCAATTGCTGCTCTTAACCACGGAGCCATGTCTCTAACTCCCTTATTTTACTTTTTATTTAGGTATAGCACAACTTGTCAAGGCACTGTCTTAGACTGTAAGGGCAGGTTGAGTTCTCTCTCTCTCTCCCGGGTTTTTCAAGACAAGATTTCTCTTTAGCTTTGGAGCCTATCCTGGAATTGGTTCTGTAGATCAGGCTAGCCTTGAACTCACAGAGCTCTGCCTATCTCTGCTTCCCTAGTGCTGGGATTAAAGGTATGTGCCACCACAGCCTGGCCAGGTTCAGTTTCTTAAAACTTCATCTAGTAACTGATGGAAACAGAAGCAGACACCCTCAGCTAAACACTGAGCTGAACTCCTGGAATCCAGTTGCAGAGAGGGAGGAGAGATAAGAAAAAGGCTTCAGAAACCCAGAGACAGCTGACCTGAACAAGTTGGAGCTCATGGCCCCCTAGACTGATAGTTGGGAACCAGCATTATACCAACTCAGAACCCCCTGAATGTGGGCCTCAGAAGACTAAGGAACTTCTGACAATGGAACCAGGAACCCTGGTGCACAAAAAGACTTTGGAAGCACATTCCCCATGGAGGGACACTCCCTTAGCCTAGAGGCAGGAGGGAGGGCCTAGACCCTACTCCAAATGACTTGACAGATTTTGATGATCCCTTCTGGAAGGCATCACCCTCCCTGTGCAATGGGGGGTGGATGGGATGGGTGGGGGGCATGGGAGGGAGGGAGGGAAGGAGACGGGCGGATCTCTGTGAGTTCAAGGCCATCCTGATATACACAGAACAAGTTCCATGACAGCCTGGGCTGTTTCACAGAAAAAATCCTGTGTCAACCCCACCCTCCCAAAAAAAGGAAAAAAACAAAATGCCTGAAATTATTTGCTTGCTCACCCTTCCACCATCAAAGTGAATTTGGTAAGCATCAGTCTGGAAACTGGTTTATTCTGGATCAAAATTTCTCAAATGTCCTACTCTTAGGTCTCACTTAAACTATTATAATGATTTTTTACACACACATTTTTATGTGTGTGTGTATAATTAAAATTTAAAGAAAATGTAAAAATGTTTAACAACTTATTTAAAGTAGCAATAATAAACCCATTATATGTTATCATAAATAATTTTGTGAAAAACAACTCTTTTCCAAAGCCAAACAATTCAGTCAAAAGAGTAACATTTTATGAGTCTCTGTAATGTTTGGGTGTTGAGCTCTCAACTCCCAACCAAACACCTTCTGTCTTCATTAGTTTAGCTGGGCACAGCTAAGAAAGAGCAGTAAGGTGCTGACTGTAGAGGGAGTCAGGAGGGTCTTAAGAGCCTCACCGGAGTACCAGCTACCTCTTAACAGTATGCAATTCTGTCCTAAATTGCATGTGGCTAGGGAAAGGAGCTCCATCTAGATCTCTATGGCAAAGCCATTATTAATGCTTGGTGAAGACTTTCCAATGTGGTTGGTTACTTTGAGGTCACCCACACCCCTGCCAGGAACCTCTCACCATGCTCCCTATAAATAAGCCTAATAAACTCATGGATTCTCCAGGGGGAGATTTGGTGGAAGTGAGCTTGGGTTTGTCACTGGGTCCTTAGGAGGAGGGGGATAGATGTCGCCTAGTCCCCCACAAGGAGAAGATTCATGAAAATAGATGGCTCCTTGTGTCTGCTGTAATACCACACTTATGACCTCCAGAAAATACCTCTGTGTGTGTGTAGGAGAGTGAGAGTAGAAAAGACAAGTGACTTTGGAGCTATGACATTGTAGACCATAGTCTTTTGAGAGCCATTGTTCTAGGCATTTGTGGATGAAGCAAATAACAAGTGTGTGTGTTTATTAGGGTGATAAGATGATTGATATGTCACCAGCAAAGAGTAAGAAAGCAGATCTGAAGGACAGTAAGCACAGATGGTCAGATTTGAAATGCCACACTTTCTAATTAGATATCAACTTGTGCAGATAATACTTGTAATGACATCACTTTACAGGAGAGAAATTTTAATAATTGAGTACAATACAGAGAGATGGGTTAATTTTAGATGTTAAAACTGAGTGATTAGAGCTATTTACTTGTTACTTTTCTAAGAAAATGTTTTCTTGTTGTTTACTTAATCGTATGAATTTTTTTTTTTTTTTCTGAGACAAGGTTTCTTTGTGTGGCCCTGGCTGTCCTGAAACTCTATAGACCAGGCTGACCTCAAACTCACAGAGATCTGCCCCCTTTGTCTCCTTAATGCTGGGATTAAAGGTGTTCACCACCGCTGTTTGGTTAATTGTTTGATTCAATTGATATAGAATAATATTCTGCTCTTCTTTCTTGCCATTTCCTCGCTTAGCCTTTTTTCTCTCTTTGTATGTACATATGCACATGTGTTCAGGTATATATAATATTCTTAAACGTGTATAACTATGAAGTATGGCACTTGTAGATGGGGAAAGGTGTGAATATTAGGGAATATAGGCCAGTTTACACTATATCATTCATAATTCAGAGAAGATTAATATCTCTGAACCTATTTTCTCACTTGTAATACAAAATGACAATATATCACTATTTCTGAGTAGCAAGGTCAATTAATTACTATTTGTTTGCTCCTGGCACATAAGATATTTGTTTAGTAAACACCAGATTATCCTGTATTGCCTTTTAGATGCAAATTACATTTCTAATAGTTTTTGAAAGACTTAGAAATTATTCTGAAAATTACCTCTGTTGTGGCCTAAAAAAAAAGGATATCTTATATTGAAAACTTAGGAAAGTAATGTAGGATTTTTAAATATAAAACCATAATTGTAGTTTTAGGTAGTGTCTGGATAGTGTATTAGTATTTGGATAATTTATTAAACCACATGAACTACTTTTCTGGGGTTAAAATGGTGAAGTGTTGGCACAGCAAGATGGCTCAGTAGTAAAGAACACATACATAATTTTACCACATTGATTTATCACTTAAAAACATACATGATAAACCCAACCTACTGCTGGATAAAATCATATAAAGTCTCTACAACTGTAGTACTTTTCAGGTGTGAAAACAGAGTCACAAAGAGAAGTGACTGGTGGGCCTGCTTAGGAGCCAAGTCCCTGATTGCTAACACAGTTCTTTTCCTGAGCATTATTTAATATATATTTTCAGATACCCCTTGCTCTGAATTATCCTGTTTTTTTTTTCTCTTATTTTGTTTAAAATTGAAGAGAATACTGTTGAGTTTAGATTAGATTCAAAGGGGTACTTAGAAGTATGGGAAAGAAGGTTTGTTGGAAGGAGTACACATAGCTGTCTATGTCTAGTTGATTTGTCACATTAGGATGGTGAAGTTTGGTTTTTTATTTCCACTCACAGATGACCTGATAGGGCTGATAACAGCATGTCCCCAAATTGAGTTAATTAAATGTCTTACTCAAGAAAGAGATGGAAAACCACCATTTTTATCTTTTGCACTTGCTGTACTTCATCTGTTTTCTGTGGATAAGAAAAAAGTTGGCATTAAGCTACTTCAGGAAGTCAGTAAAGGTGGGAAAGGTAAGTGTGCTTATGATGCACTGAGGCTACTTTTGATCAAGACAGAGCCCAACTTTGAATTCTCCACCACTCTCCCTGTGTTGCATCTATTTTTATGGTCTGTGTCCTGCCAGCTGTCTGTTGTGTGTGCCTGCCTGTCCCTAACAAAGGGCTTTACTCTGTATTTGTTGTGTAGCACAGAAAACATGGTGTGGAAAAGAAATGAAAATACTTCTCTAAAGAAATCTTTAACAGAGTTTTACAAGGGAAGAAATTACTGTGCTGACTCAGAGCAGCACTCAAAACCCCAGACATATTATCAACCTACATCCAAATATTGCTTCCAACATTTATGGGTTATTTGTTTTGTTTGTTTAAAGTTGCTTTCAACCTGTTTACTTTCTTTTCTCTAGACATGGTTTCTCTGTGTAACAGTCCTGGCTATCCTGGAACTCTGTAGACCAGGCTGGCCTCAAACTCACAGGGGTCTGCCTGCCTCTGCCTCCAGAGTTCTGGGATTAAAGGTATGTGCCACCACCATACCATTTTTTTTTTCAAAAAATAATTATCTCAAAATACACACACACACACACACACACACACACACACACACACACACACACACTTCTTGGTCAGAGGTATAGAAAAGTATATAGTTTAAGATTAAAACTATTGGTTTAGCTTCAGTTATAAAAAGTAATTAAGTGGGAAGTCCAAGGCATAATAATGTTGGTTACATTCTTAAACATAGGCTAGACTTAAAATAGGCTGAGAACACTATAAGACAATGATTAAGGTCTCAGTTTTAAGTGATCTTAAGGCATGTCAATAACTTGATTTTGAGATCTGACTGAAGTTCATTCTCTTTGAAGGGAAGAGGTATTTTCAGAAAACTATCACCACATATAAGTAAATTCAAGTGCTGTTGAGAAAGAGAGTCATGAGTTATTTAAGGAGAATTTCAAAATGATTAAAATTTATAAATGTGAAGGTTACTATGTTAGCAAGTCTATTGGCATTGGGATATGTTTGTTGAAAGAATAAGAATGAAAAATCTTTACTAAGCCCATGAGAATATCATAATCATTTCAAGAGACAACATTCTTATAAAAGCTTTATGTAATTTACCATTATCATTTATATGTATTTTAACTATTATTAGCTGTCAATAATTTAATTTCCATTATATGCATACTTACATATATTCTTGTTTCTTTTTTCCTTTTTTGTCTTTTTTATGATATTCTCTCTTAATGTAACTTTGTATTGCAGTGAAGTTGAGGAGCTATTAAAATTTCACATTTCTCTCTTTTCATTAATTTTACATTGAAGGTAACTTTTCACTTTATTGTCTAAGGCCAAGAAAGAATAGTTAATTGCCTGAAGGTATATTGAGGAAGGTAATTTAATATTCTGAATTTATCATTATAGGTAGTAACTAAAATATTTGATAGGAAAATAATGATTGTGTTCATAATAACATAGTAGTGATGATAGAAATCAAAAGGGAAATCTGTAACAAAGTTTAATAAATAAATAATGCAGGTGATAGGTAAGATGTTAGTTCCGTGAACTGGTGAATAGTGGGTCTTATGGGGTAGCTCCATCAGTGCCTAGTTTCCAGAAAACATGTAAAAGCATCAGGTATGGTGGCACACATTTGTGATCCCAGCACCGGGGAGGCAGAGGAAGTCAGGTCCCAGGGGCTTGCTGGCCATCTACTCCAGCCTGCATGGCAAGCCACAAGCCAGTAAGAAACCCTGTCTCAAAAATAAAAGATTGATAGTTCATGTATACACATATGCACATACATTTATAACCTCATATGCATCCCTCGTACACAGAACAAATAAATAACTGATAAATGTCAAAGAGAGTTACTATCACATTTCTTTCAAAAATAAATCATATTTCTTTAATGACTTCTTTATTTTATTTAATGTACATTGGTGTTTTGCCTGCATGTATGTCTGAGTGAGAGTGTCAGATCTCCTGGAACTAGAGTTAAAGACAGTTGTGAGCTGCCATGTGGGTGCTGGGAATTGAACTTGGGTCCTCTAGAAGAGCAGCCAATGTTCTTAACCTCTAAGCCATCTCTCAAGCCCCCATATTAGATTTCTTTAAAAGCAAAACTGTTGCATTTTTTAAGGACAATATTGGTTATAGATACTACAAGATTAAGAAGTCTGTATATGGAGAAAGGCTTACTGTTTGCTAAGGAGTCTCTTAACCCTTGGGCAGCACTGCAGAGCATTTATGAAACTGTTTAAAGGGTCATGACTATCCAAGCTCTAGGTCCTCAGCACTTGTTTCCAGTGGTGCCTATAGGCTGTAAGAAGGGCCCCTGTCCTTTACTTTCTGAGCTCACCACCTTACTCCCTTCAATACCATCTACCTTATATGAGGGATGGGGGAAACAAATTAGAGGGCCGAGTTGATGAATGGCAAATGACAAAGGAGAAGAAAGAGAAGGAATTGACCAGCCACAGTGTCATCGTGTCATACTTGAGCACTGTGTCATACTTGTCATAGCATGAAACATGGGGCCAAACCCAGGTTGAGAATAACTATGTTGAAATGGGGTCTCTTCATTTTTGAAGGTTTGCAAAGTATGGGTCACCAAGTAAGAGGGAATTCCATAGTATAATGCTGTATTTTTTTTTTTTTTCAGATGTAATAGAGCATCTTGTGATGGGTGATTTATTTTGCTCCTTAGAAAAGTGGCAAGAAATGGCAAATATCTGTTTACAGAATGGCTTTGAAAATTTGTTTAATGACATCATGACCATTCTTCGATCCCAGGCTGGAGTTTCAGAAATTTCTGAGGATGATTCCATCAACTTAATGGAACATGTTTTTTGGTAGTTCTTTATTTTAACCAGCTGAGGGCGCTTGTACACATTTTATAAGCATTGGCTGGGCAAACTGGTTTTAGCATAGTTATCATAAATAAATGTTGAATATAATGTTCTCGGCAACAAATCACTTCTATTATGATGTTTAGGTTTGATCTTGAAACACTACAACCATTGCTTCCTTTCTACTATGTGGTCACTTCTTTTTAATTTATTTATTTTTATTTTATGTGCATTAATTAATATTTTGCCTGCATGTGTGAGGGTGTCAGATCTTGGAATTGCAGACAAATGGCTGTGAATTGTCATGTGGGTGCTGGGAGTTGAACCTGAGTCCTCTTGAAGAACAGCCAGTGCTCTCTTACCCACAGAGCCATCTCTCCAGCCCAGTGTATTTACTTCTTACAGCCAATCTTGAGCAAATTCAAAAGTATAACTTTGCATAAGCGTTTCTACCTTAGAACAAGCTCATGTCCAAATAGACACACTTCTTATCATCTAATTTGATACCTAAAACTGAAGAAAGTATGGGTAACTCTCTGCCTGTATACTGACTTCCTAAATGTCAAATATTGCAAGCTTGCCTAAAAGAAAAGTAGAATATAGCTTGGCCATAGTGGTGAACACCTTTAATCCCAACACTCAGGAGGCAGAAGCAGGTGGGTCTCTGTGAGTTTGAGGTCAGCCTGGTCTACAGGGTGAGTTCCAGGACAGCCAAGACTGTCTCACAGAGAAACCCTGTCTCAAAAAGGAAAAAAAAAAAAAAAAAAAAAAAAAAAAAAAAAAAAAAAAGGGGGGGAAGGCTCTACACACACACATACCTTTGCTGTTTATATATGGTGAAGGTCAGACTCATACTGAGGCTTAGAATCTTGACCTGTTCTTACTTAGAAGGAAGATGAGGCAGATTGCATAGAAGTGGGCCTTGAGGCCTTTTAGGTATGGAGATGTAATTTTTAGTCATTTTTACTGGTACAGTGGTGAATGTCTAAGATCCTAGCTCTCAGTAGGCTGAAACAGAGAGGCAATGCATTTGAGATCATCCTGGAATGCACAATAAATGTCTCTGAGAAACAAGACAAAATAGAATAAAACAACAACAGACCAAAACCAACCCAAAAACACAGCAAGAAGTGATTTTGTAAATATAATTTCGAGTGTTTGAATAAGTATTTGAAATTTTAAAATTCTTTACTATGAGTAGATAGATATGATATTCAGTATATTTAAAAATTAGTATGGCATGGGTACCAATCAAGTAGAATAGATGTTCAACTAATCATCTTCCAGTGGCACATTACTGAACTGTGTCTCCAGCCCCTGGTTCTAAAATGGAGCCTCACTATGCAGACTTAAATTGCCTTTAACTTGGTATACAGCTGAGATTGGTCTGAGCTTGCAATCCTTCTGCCTCTGCCTCCTGAATACTGGGATTAAAAGTGTGATCCATCATGTTTCACAGAGTTGGTTCCTTGAGAAGGACCTAAGGGATCTTCTATGTGTCTCTTCACATCCTCTTCTCTTCATGTGTATCTGAGTCCAGATTATTTCTTTATAATTATGCTAGTTAGCTGAACATGGTGGTGCTCCATAGGCTGAAGCAGTCAACTTACACAGTGAGTCACAGGCCAACTACAGAGTAAGGCTGTATGTGTAAGATATGTAAGATATATATAATACAATATATGAATATATATAATAAACATGTAGGTATTACATCTCATTATACACACACACACACATATATATGTATATATACTATATCACTCATATTGAATTAGAGTCCACCCACTTTAAATTGGCTATGTCTCCAAATAAGGTCACATGCTGTTGTACTGTGGGTTAGTATTTTGGCATGTAAATTTGGGAAAAACATAATTCAGACACAAACATTTTCCTTTATATTACCAAAATAAAAATAGTACTGGTCACAAAATAAATGTTCAATGAACAGTTCCTGATTGAATTTACTTTAGGCAAAACTGAAATTTTTATATTTAATGTTAATCTTGTGAATTCACACTTTACACTTGCTTACATTTACAAAATTATGTTACACATTCATTTTAGAATTTTTCACAAAGCAAACACATCTGTATAACTAACCCACATGTGATGATATAGAACTTTCCCTGAGTATTCCAGCCTCCTGCCTTCCTCCCAAATGTAGTTGCTCAACTTCTCACGTCATTAATTATTTTTTCCTAATTTTGAATTTTAAGTAAATAAAGTACTGCATTCATTTTTTGTGTCTACTTGTTTTTGCTTTTTGGAGGTTTTGTTTGAGACAGGGTTTCTCTGTAACTTCGGAGGCTGTCTTGGAATGGACTCAGTAGACCAGGCTGGCCTCAAACTCATAGAAATCTGCCTGTCACTGCGTCCTGACTGGCTGCTTTTGCTTTTTACATTTTGTGAGATTTTTTTTTCATATTGTTTATAGTTGTAGTTATCTATTCTCATTGTTCCATTCTGTAATGTGTAGACCTATAAGTTTTTTCCAGTATGGATCTGTACAGTGCTCCCATGGTTATTCTTTATGTCTTGGCTGTGAAATCTGTGTGCAGTTCTCCTTTGTTTTTCAAGTTGTTTGGGGATAGGTATATACATGGTCTCATAAGTAGTTATATTTTTCTTAGCATTTAGGATCTCCCTAAATATTAGATTAACAAATGACCATTAATCATTTCCAATTAATTAATTAAATAATTAATTAATTAATTATGTGTGTGTGTGTGGTAGTTTGAATCTAATTGGACCCCATAAGCTCATAGAGAATGGCACTGTTAGGAGGTGTGGCCTTCTGGAGAAAGTGTGTGACTGTGGGGGCCAGCTTCATTCTCATACTTGCTCATGACACTCAGTGTCTCAGACCACTGTTGCCTGTGCAAGATGTAGAACTCTCAGCTACCTCTCCAGGACCATGTCTGCCTGCACACTTCCATGTCCCACCATGATGGTACTGGACTGAAGCTCTGAATTGCAAGCCAGCCCCAATTAAACGTTTTCCTTTATAAGAGTTGCCATGGTCATGGTGTCTCTTCACAGCAATAGAAACCCTGAGGCAGCATGTATGTATGAGTGTGAGGGTGCACATATGCATGGATGGATTCAGGTGCTACTTGTGTGATCTTGTTGTGTGGAGACCAGAGGACAACTTTGGGTATTGTCCTTCAGACACTACCCAGTTTGTTTTTTGAGACAAGGTTTTTCTTGGGGGGGGTTGTTAAGACAGGATTTCTCTGTGGGGTGGTGGTGGTGCAGGTGTTTAATCCCCACATTCAAGAGATACAAAACAAAAACAAACAAACAAACAAGACAGCGTTTCTCTATGTAACAGCCCTAGCTGTCCTGGAATGTGGAAGCCCATATTAAGGTCAGGCAGTTCAAGCCTATTATTGCATCTTGAAGGTTAAACCACAGGATGTTTGGCCTAAGGTGTGGTCACTGGATGTCTCACCCAAATAACAGAATACTTATTTCAGAGTGTGGTTACTTGATGTTTCAGGTATTAAAAAGGTAAAGGTAATTATGTCTTTATTCCTTGTATCATCTTAAGGTGGTCTTTTGCCTCCCCCACTTTTGGTTGGGGTATATAAGAACTGTGCATAATAAACTTGGGGCGGATCCCGGTATCCACTGGATGCCCTCCCAACTCTATCTGTTGTCTTTTGTCTATTTCTCCCTCTGGGATGTCCGGACCTGACAGATGCCCTTCATCATGAGGTTCTGACACTGGAACTAGCTCTGTCTGGCCTAAAAATCACAGAGATCTGGCTGTTTCTGCCTCCCGAGTGCTGGGACTAAAGGTGAATGCCGCCACTGCCACCACTACCTGCCCAACGTTTTTTGCTAACATGGTACTAAGTATGCTAGTCTGTCTGGACAGTGAGCCTCAGGAACTCTCTTGACTGTTACCACAGTTACTACTTTGCAGATGACTAGAATCATAAAAGACTGTTACGTAAATTAGAAGTATTGCTGGTTGCTGTCTGAACTTGCTTCAATGCACAGAATATCCACAACTCATCAACTGTGTTCACTCCCACTCCTTGGGGGAAAAAAAAAGCACTTATCAGAGTTAAATCAGTGAATAGCTACTGTTGTAATTTTAAAAAGTGTCGGGAAAGAGAAAGATGCTTGGGTGGAGGGGGTTTTATTGGAGGAAAGTGAATGGGAAATGGGGGAGGGGAGAAGGAAGACTGTTCTCTGGGGACAGGAGTGGCAGAAGAGAAGAGAGGCAGAGAGAGAGAGAGAGAGAGAGAGAGAGAGATGGTAGGTGGTCAGGACCCTTTTAATAGGAAACAGTGAATGTGCACAGGTGGGGCTGTTAGTGGCTGCAGCTGAGGGAGTATCAGGACAGGTCAGTACAGCGCCTGAATACTAACAGGTACTGGATATACAAAGTTGTCAATAACTAATAGTTATAATTGATTTTGTTCCTTATTAAACATACTATATTCATATCTCTGTTTGTCACACACACACACACACACACACACACACACACAGTACTGGACCTGAGGACCTGAGTTTCGATCCTCCACACTTATATAAGAAGCTAGGTGTGGCACCAGTAATAGCAGTTCTGGGGTGGCAGACATAGGATTGTCCTTGGGCTTGCTGACTGGGTAGTCTAGCCAAAATAGTGGACTCCGGGTTCAGCAGAGACTCTGTTTCAGCAAATAATAAAATGGGGAATGACTGAGGTTATCCCATGTCGACCTCTTTCCTCACACACAAAAATATTTTTATTTATGTGTTTCATTTTATTTCTTTTTTTTTTTGTCAGCATCTATTGGTACTCCCATGGCCTTATGAATCCATGTCAGTCTCTCCTTGGTGTTCCCAAGTATCTATGAGGGTCTATGACATGTAGTTCTGACTTCTCAGAGCCCTTGGTTGGAGCCAGCTTGCTGACATCCACCTCTGTGAATGACTTCGGTTTTGTTGTGGTACAGCAGCAAGGCCCTTATCAGGTACCAATGCCTTGTCCCTTAGCTTCCAACCTTAACTGTTAGTCCATGAATTTCTATTCTCTCTAACTTACCCAGACAGCCACATCACTGCAGCACAGAGTCAACCAAGTCATTCTCCAACTCTGGTTGTGCATGTCTTTTTGCTCTGAGTACTTTT